CCCCGCGCCGAACGCGTTGAGAATGCGCTGGCCCGCGGTCAGCGCATAGGCCTGGCCATCGGCCGCCGGGCGTTCGGCTGTGCCGGCATCCGGACCGGCATCGCGGTCGTCGCTGAACGCGGCCCCGATCCGCTGGTCGATCGTCGCACTGCCGGAAGGTGAATCGAGAAAATAGTCGTGCGTCGCGTCTGTCCCGACCGGCACCATGGCCGGCTGGGCACCGGCGGATTGGATGGATGCATCTCCGGACGTCGGATCAAGACCGTCCAGCAATCCCGAAGCCAATGTGTCGCCGATACCGGCTGCGACCGCGAGCGCCGTCAGCGAAGCCGTCGCTGCAAGCCTGTGCCGGACTGCTTCGGGAACACGAAGGTGCTGCGACTCCGCCACGTCGAAACCGAAGGCGCCAGCCCGACCAACATGCAACATCCTGTCCACCCCCAACCAGGGCCCATAGCTCATCGCGGAATCGCGTCGATCCGCACAGCCATTGTTAGCCCGCCTGCCTTGCGCAGACCTGCCTTGCTAGGTCCTTGGCGGCATTGGAATTCTTCAATGCAGACTTGGCCGGGCCAGCAAGACACTTTCCCCTGGGAAATCGTTAACTGATGTTGCGCTTGTACGCCATGCGTTTGAAAACTCTATTCTTCCGATTGTTGCCATTTCGACACAGCCTTTTTGAGAAAAACGACCGAATGCGTTCAGTGAAAGGCCCCAAAAACAACCTATGGACGCTGAATTGACTATGTGCAGGCCAAACGTGCAGTCGGTCGGGCTGGACAGGACCCACACCGGTTGCCGATAGAGGATGCCGGCGCCGACACGTCCGACGGCGAAGGATGAGACTGCCGTGCACACAGGAAACACAGCCATGACTGGCCGCAACCGCCTCGCCCACAATACCGCGGTTGCGCTTCTTTTTGCCCTGTGGCCGCAGGCACAGGCCAACGCACAGACGCTCGCCGAACCGCATGGCGACTGGGTCGTGCAGTGCGCCGACCCTGGCAACCGGGCGTCGCGATGCCAGATGGCCCAGACTCTGACCGCCGACGGCACGGGCCAGCATGTCATGACGATGATCGTTCGGCCCGCCGATGGCGCCGCCGGCCTGACCGCGCTCGTCCGGCTGCCGCACGGGCTTTATCTGCCCGGCGGCATCGCGCTGCGGGTCGACGGCGGCGCGCCGGTGACGGCCCTCATCCAGACCAGCGATGCCGGCGGCGTCTATGCGTCCGTCCCGCTGCCCGCCGCGCTTGTCGATGCCATGAAAGCCGGCCGGTCGATGACGGTTGCCATGCAGTCGGTCAAGCGCGAGCCGATCGCGCTGACCGTGTCTCTGGCCGGTTTCACGGCGGCATCGGGCGCCCTCGCCGCCCGTTCAGGGGGAGATTGAGGCCATGACCGTCCATGAAGGCCGGAGCTTCAACAATGCGCGCATCGATCTCGATGGCGCTGCGTTCCGCAATTGCCGCTTCACCGGTTGCGAGATGGTCTATTCGGGCGGGCGGCCGCCGGAAATCACCGGGTGCCATTTCGACGATTGCAGCTGGTCGTTCGGCGGCAGCGCCGCGCTGACGCTCGGTTTTCTGTCGGCCATGCATGGCGGGGGCTTCGCGGATCTGGTGGAACGCACGTTCGAGATGGCGCGCCAGGGCCGGTTCGCCGACCTGCCGGCATCCGCCGCCGGCAGCGCGACGCCGGCCGGACCCGTAGAAAAATCAGACGCCGCCGACCGGGATCATCCGCTGATGTTCCGGATTCCAAGAGTGCTCAAACGGCCTCTGCGGCGGTAAACGGCCTGTCACGGTCGGGGAATGGTGGGTGAGCAGGGACTCGAACCCTGGACCCGCTGATTAAGAGTCAGCTGCTCTACCATCTGAGCTACACACCCGGCCGAAGCGTTATCTAGGCCCGTGGTCGGGCTGTGTAAAGGGAGCGCGGCCCGCCGCAGGTCCGCACGAACAGGCCCTGTCAGCCCCCGTCAAACCGTCAGCCGTCCTTCGGCCACCTTCACCGCGTGGCCGCCGATGCGCGCCGCATCGATCGCGCCGTCGCGTCCGGTGATCTCCAGCCTGATGCGCGACGGCCGGCCCATCTCGACGCCCTGCTCGATCCACAGCGCGTTCGGCCCTTCGGCAAGCCCGTCGAAATGGTGGACGGCGCCGGCGAACGCGGCCGCCGCCGAGCCGGTTGCCGGGTCTTCCGGTATGCCGTGATGGGGCCCGAACATGCGCGCGTGGAAGGCCGCATCGTGGGCGACCGTGTCCCGGCAGTACAGATAGGGACAGATGACGTCGAGCGGGTCCTGGCCGGGAAAGTGGGCGAGCCAGGCGGCCATGTCGAACCGGGCCCGCGCCATCGCGTCGAGCCCGGCGAGCGGCACGCACAGGAAGGGATTGCCCGCGCTCCACTGGCTGACGCGGTGGTTCTCGAACCCGATGTCACTGGGTGCCAGGCCCAGCGCAACCGCCACCGCGCCCTCGTCCAGGACCGCCTGCTGCGCCTCGGGCAGGCGCGGCAGGTCGAATTCGGCATAGGGCACCTCGCCGCCATGCAGCGCCACGCGCACCGGGCCTATGGCTTCCTCGATCACCATCAGCCGGTCATCGGGCCCGCCATCGCGCTCGGCCAGCGCGATCGCTCCGCCAACGGTCGGATGGCCGGCGAACGGCAACTCGCCGCCCGGCATGAAGATGCGCGCCGCGGCGGTGTGCGTCCGGCTGACGGCGGCGGAAAAGAAGATCGTTTCCGACAGGTTGAATTCGCGCGCGATCGCAGCCATCGCCGCGTCGTCGAGCATGTCGGCGTCGAACACGACCGCCAGCGGATTGCCCGCAAAGCGCTGGTCGGTGAACACGTCGTAGACCGCATAGGCAAGGCTCATCGCCCCTCTCCCCTCTCCACATCGTCAAAGTGCCACAGGGCCAGCGCCCGCGCATAGGGACGCAGCCGGTCGGTATCGTCGCGCGATCGGATGGCGATGAGCTCGGCCAGCTCGTCGTCGCCGGTCGCCGCCTGATGGGCACGCACCCGCGCTTCGCATTCGGCAAAGCTCAGCGCAAGCCGGCAGCGCCGCGCCACATACCAGGCATGATCGATGGACGCAGCGACCATCGCCGGATCGAAATCGGCCAGCGGCGGTTCAAGCCCGGTCTCCTCGGCCAGCTCGCGGCGGATGTTGCCGGTGATGTCGATCCGGCCGCCTGCGACATCGCCGGGATCGAGCGAGCCGGCGGGAAAATAGATCTGGCCGGCATTGGCCGTATGGTCGGCCATGCGCGCGGCGATGATCGCGCCATCTGTGGTCACGCCCAGCGAAGCGCCTGTGATGTGCACCGCGCTGCCATCGCGCCGATGATCGCGCCAGAAAAGGAAGGCGGCATAATCGGTACGGTGCGCCGTGCCGTGCAGAACGCCGCCATGGACCCTGACATCGGTGAACAGGAATTGCGGCCCGTTCCAAAGGCGTGGTTGCGCGGCGACCCGCCGGTTCCAATGGGCGGCGATCGCGTCCGCATGGCGCTCGGCGAATGCCAGCGGCGCTTCCGTCACGGTCAGTTGCGTCGAATCAAGCCGTACCAGCATGGGCGGGCCTTAGCATGATCGTTGCGGCCGGCGCAGCGGCACAACGGCACTTGCGGCTTGATCTCGATCAATTATATAAATGATCATCAATATAAAAGATATCCCATATTCCAATGGAGGTTCACCGATGTCGAACGCATCATCCCAACCGGCTCCGGCCTGGCAGCCGCTCTACTTCCTGGCGGCGCTGGGCGCAGGCGGCCTTGCCGTTTCCTTCTTCATGTATCTGATGTGGATGACGCCGCATGCCGGCCAGCCCATCCCGTCTTTCACCACGCTGCTCGCCGCCTTCAGTGACGGCACGCTGGCGATGAAGGCGCTGGTCGCCGTCGGTGTGGCCGGCATCGCCGTCTTCACCGCGCTCTATGTGCGCCTGCTGATCTGGAACGTCGTCCGGTTCCGCGACTGGCATCCGTCGGAAGCGGCCATCACCATGCGCCGCACCAACACCGGCTCGTCCATCATGGCCGCGCCGCTGACCTATGCGATGGGCATCAATGTCGGATTCATCGTCGGCGCCGTGTTCGTGCCCGGTCTTTGGGAACGCGCCGAACTCCTGTTCCCGTTCGCGCTTTTGGGCTTTGCGGCGATCGGCGTCTACGCGCTCAAACTGTTTTCCGGCTTCATGACGCAGATGATCGTCGAGGGAGGGTTCGACTGCGCCAAGAACAACTCGCTTTCACAGATGCTGTCGGTCTTCGCCTTCGCCATGGTCGGCGTCGGCTTTTCGGCGGCTGCGGCCATGAGCCACAACCAGATCGTCTCGGTGATCGGCTTCATGGGCGCGAGCTTCTTCGTCGTCGCCGCGATCATCTTCGGAGCGATGTTCCTCGTCATGGGCTTCCGTTCGATGCTCGAGAACACGGCCAATCCGGAGACGGTTCCGACGCTGTGGATCATCATCCCGTTCGTCACCGTCGTCGGCATCGCGCTCTACCGCATGAACATGGCGCTCGACCACAATTTCGGCGTCGAGTGGCTGGCCGGCGACCGTTTCGCCTTCCTGACCACGCTGTTTGCCATCCAGATCCTGTTCGGTGTTCTGGGCTACGCGGTGATGAAGCGCACGCGCTATTTCGAGACCTACGTCTCGGGCCCTGCCAAGTCGCCCGGCTCGTTCGCGCTGATCTGCCCCGGCGTCGCGCTGTTCGTCTTCGCAAACTTTGTGATCAATCCCGGCCTTGTCGGTCTGGGCGTGATGGACAAGTTCTCGATCGGCTATTTCATTGCCTACGCGCCGCTGGTTGCGCTGCAGGTGCTGACGATCCGGACCTTCTTCCGCCTGTCGGGCAAGCTGATCACCACCGACCGGGCCGCACCGGCCGCCGCTGTCCCCGCCGAATAAGACACGAGGCGCAAACGCATTTCCGAGCCGCCGGCACCCTGCCGGCGGCTTTTTGCCGTTGTCGCTCTTCTCAATCCGGCGGCGCGCGATCCGTCGAACCGTTCTCGTCTGCGCGGCGCACCGGCTGCGGCAGGATGCGGCCGATCGCGGCCTCGCGGTCGCGCGCGCCGCCCACCGCCTGCCTTTGCCGCTCGAGCCGCGCTCGGTCGCGCTCGCGCGCCGTACGCACGGCCTGTACCCGCGCCTCCGCATCGTGGCCAAGCAGCGCCAACGCGCGGGCGCCCATCTCCATCCCCGACGCAGCCGTCTCGCGGACCACATCATCGACGCCGCGGTCGAGCAGCTGGATCGCGTGAATGCGGTCATAGGCCCGCACGATCAGCCGCGCCTGGGGAAACTCGCGCATGACAAGATCGGCGATCGCATCGGTCGCGCCCTGCCCGTTGGTGCATATGGCGATCAGTTCCGCCGAACCGGCGCCGGCTGCGGCCAGCACATCGCGCCGCGCCCCGTCGCCGAAATAGACGCGGGTGCCGAAACGGCCCGCCTCGCGCACCCGGTCCGCATCGCTGTCCAGATAGGTCAGCGGCACGTTCCGGACGAGCAGCGGCTGCGCCACCATCTGGCCGAACCGGCCAAAGCCGATGATCAGCGCGGTACCGCCCGCATCGGCGAAATCCTCGTCCATGGTGGCGGTCCTGGCGGGCGGCTGCAGCCACGCCAGCAGCCGCTCGTTCTGCGAGGACAGCGCCATCGAAATGGTGACGATGGAGACCATCACCGCCGCCAGTTCCGCGTCGATCACCTGTGCGGACGCCGCCGCCGCAAACAGGACGAAGCCGAATTCGCCGTGCTGGGCCAGCGCAAAGCCGAGCCGCATCGCCTTGTCGTGCTCGGTGCCGAACAGCCGGTTGACCAGATAGACGACAACGCCCTTGACCGTAACCAGCACCGGCACCGCCAAAACGATCAAAAGCCAGTTGCGCGCCACCGCCGACAGGTCCAGCGACATGCCGACCGCAACGAAGAACAGGCCCAGAAACAGCCCCCGGAACGGTTCGATGTCGGCCTCGACCTGGTGGCGATAGGAGGATTCGGCCAGCAGCACGCCGGCAATGAACGCGCCCATCGCATAGGACAAGCCGGCCAGCGCCATGATGAGAGACGCGAAGATGACAACGCCGAGCGCTGCGGCGGTCATCAATTCGGGCGCGCGCGTCCGCGCCAGCACGTTGAACATCGGATCGAGCGCGTAGCGCGCCACGCCGATCAGGAGCACGATGGCGGCTATGCCGGTCAGGACGGCGGTGATGTTGGACGCAGCGGTCGCCTCGGCGCCGGCGACGGGCGCCAGCAGCGCAACCAGCAAAAGGAGCGGCACGATCGACAGGTCCTCGAACAGGAGCACGCCGATCGTGGTCTGCCCGAAGGGCGAGGCACGGTCGCCCGCCTCGTCGAGCGCCTTGACCACAAGCGCGGTCGACGACAGGCCCAGCCCGAGACAGACAATGATCGCCGCGGTGAGGTCCAGCCCATAGGCGTAGACGACGAGGAAAAGCGCCGTGCTGGTCGCCGCAAGCTGGACAAGGCCTCGCCCGAAAATGGTGCCGCGCATCGCCCACAGCCGCGCCGGCCGGAATTCGAGCCCGATGACGAACAGGAACAGCACAACCCCGAACTCGGCAAAGCGCAACAACGCCTGCGGGTCCTCGGTAAACGACAGGGTCAGCGCGACGCCCGCCGTGATGCCCGACAGCAGATAGCCGATCACCGTGCCCAGGCCCAGCCGGCGCGACAGCGGTACGAACAGGCAGGCCAGCGTGATCAGCGCCAGCGCCTCGGTGAAGCGCCATTCCAGCGGCGTCAGCCCGAACGGTGTGGCAACATCCTGCGCCATCGCATCGGCGCCAAGTGACAGCCACACGGCGATGCCGGCAAGGGCAAACCGCGCCATGGCGAAAATGATCGTCATCTCTGGTGCCTTCGGACCATCATTGCGGGAAGATCGCAGCCGGCAGGCCGCGCCTTGCGCGCAAGCCGGCCCGCCGACTATGAAGGGCGCACGCCAACCCGACAAGTGGGCCAACCGGCCAGCAAGACCGGCCCGATGCACGCCAGTTCGACACCAGATGACCATCCCGCCAGCCGCCGGCCAACCCTGTCGGTGTTCGCGCTCGCCGTCGGCATCGTCTTCTTCGCCTTTTCGCTGACGCCGTCGCTGATCCCGCGCGATTATGTTCTGCAAGGCGTGCTCGGCGGCGTGGTGATGGCACTTGGCTACGGGCTCGGTCAGTTCGGGCTGTTGCTTTGGCGCTATGTCGAACTGCCCCTCGCCCGCGACAGGCTCGGCCGCGTACTCAATGCGCTGGCGCTGGTCGTCGCCGTCGGCCTTGCGCTGTACTTCCTGTTGGAGGTGGTGGACTGGCAGAATTCGATCCGTGCCCGGGTCGGCATGGCGCCGGTCGATGCGGCCCATCCCGCCTATGTCACGCTGATCGCGCTGATCGTCTTCACGCCGCTATGGATCGCCGGCTGGGCGTTCCAGTTGCTGATGGACACGCTGCGCCGCCAGTTGCGCCGGGTGATTCCCGTTCGGCTCGCCAATCTGTTGGGTCTGGCGCTCGCCGCCTATCTCGCCTGGGCGCTGATCGACGGCTTCGTGATCCAGCGTTTTCTGGCGTTTGCCGACGATGCCTATGGCCAGGCCTCGGCCCTTTTCGATCCCGACATCGCCCGGCCCGAGGCCGAACTGGCATCGGGAGGGCCCGTATCGCTCATCGACTGGAACGATATGGGCCGCTGGGGCCGCAACTTCGCCGCAACCGGTCCGGATGCCGATGCGATCAGCGCCTTCACCGGCCGGCCTGCCAAGGAGCCCATCCGCGTCTATGTCGGCCGCAACTCGGCGCCGACGCCGGCGGAGCGGACCGAGATCGCCTTTGCCGAGATGCTGCGCACCGGCGCTTTCGAGCGCAAGGTGCTGGTGATCGCCATGCCTGTCGGCTCGGGCTGGCTCGACGCGGGCTCGCACGACCCGCTGGAGATCATGCACGATGGCGATATCGCCACCGTCGCGGTGCAGTATTCGTACCTGACGAGCTGGATCTCGCTGGTCTTCGAGACCGATGCCGGCCTCGACCAGGCGCAGACCCTGTTCGACCGGGTCTACCGGCACTGGCGTTCACTGCCCGAAGACCGTCGCCCGGAACTCTACCTGCACGGGCTCAGCCAGGGCGCGCTCGTCTCCCAGTCCTCGGTCGATCTGCTGACACTGATGGCAGCGCCGATCGACGGCGCGCTGTGGGCCGGCCCGCCCTTCGCCAGCGGGCTGTGGGGCCGCATAACCCGCGCCCGCGCGCCCGACAGCCCCTACTGGCTGCCGCAGGTCAATGACGGCGAAGTGGTCCGCTTCGTCAATCAGGACACCGACCTTCTCGATGATGCCGCGCACCGGTGGGGACAGGTGCGGATCGTCTTTCTGCAGTATGGCAGCGACCCGATCGTCTTCTTCGATCCCTTGTCGGCGCTGCGGCGGCCGGTCTGGATGAACGAAGAACCAGCGCCCGACGTCTCGCCCGAGCTCAGATGGTACCCGTTCGTCACCCTGTTCCAGCTTGCGCTCGACATGGCCTTGTCGCTGAACATCGAACGCGGCCACGGCCACAAATACATCGCCGAGGACTATATCCCCGCCTGGGTCGCCGTAACCCGCCCCGATGGGTGGACCGATGAAGACACACAGCGGCTGATCGAGCGGTTCCGGGGCTTCGATGCGGGGTGAGTCACATCCGGGCGACGAACGGCGAACCTCTGTCCGCCGTTTGCCGATTCACCATTCGCCTGCCGTCAGTTCTTTTCCTTGTCGACAAGCGCGTTCGACTTGATCCACGGCATCATGCCGCGCAGCTTTTCGCCCACTTCCTCGATCTGGTGCCCGTCATTGACCCGGCGGATGCCCTTGAAGCGCGCCGCGCCCGACCGGTACTCCTGCATCCACTCGGAGGTGAACTTGCCGGTCTGAATGTCGGTCAGCACCCGCTTCATCTCCGCCTTGGTCTCCTCGGTGATGATGCGCGGACCTGAGACATATTCGCCCCATTCGGCGGTGTTGGAGATCGAATAGTTCATGTTGGCGATTCCGCCTTCATAGATCAGGTCGACGATCAGCTTCACTTCGTGCAGGCACTCGAAATAGGCCATTTCCGGCGCGTAGCCGGCCTCGACCAGCGTTTCGAAACCGGCGCGGATCAGTTCGACCAGACCGCCGCACAGCACGACCTGCTCGCCGAACAGATCGGTCTCGCACTCTTCCTTGAAGTTGGTCTCGATGACGCCCGAGCGGCCGCCGCCGACGCCGCATGCATAGGACAGCGCCATGTCATGCGCATTGCCCGACGCGTCCTGATGAACGGCGATCAGACAGGGCACGCCGCCGCCCTTCATGTATTCGCCGCGCACCGTGTGGCCCGGACCCTTGGGCGCGACCATCAGCACGTCGACGCTCGATTTGGGTTCGATCAGGCCGAAATGGACGTTCAGCCCGTGCGCGAAGGCGATTGCCGCGCCGTCGCGGATGTTGGGCGCGATATGGTCCTTGTAGATGTCGGCCTGCAGTTCGTCGGGCGTCGCCATCATCATCAGGTCGGCCCAGGCCGCGCCTTCGGCAACGTTCATGACGGCGAAACCGTCGGCTTCGGCCTTGAGCGCCGTGGTCGAACCTTCGCGCAGGGCGATGCGGACGTTCTCGGCGCCCGAATCCTTGAGGTTCATCGCATGGGCGCGGCCCTGCGATCCGTAGCCGACGATCAGCACCTTCTTGCCCTTGATCAGGTTCAGATCCGCATCGCGGTCGTAATACACACGCATGATTGTCTCCGTTGGATTTGTGTGGGTCAGGATTGCGCATCCGCCCCGTAAAGGCGGAAGAACTGGTCGACGGCCCTGGCGACGTGGGTTGCCATGGCCCGGTCGGAATTGGTGGCGGGAACATGTTCACCGAGCATCAGGCGCACATGCATGTCGCGCAGGATCAGCCCGTACAGCGTCTCGAAAGCGTCCAGGGTGTCCTCGAACCGCAAATGGCCGGCGCGCCTGCCCGCTTCGAGCAGCGCCTTGGCGCGCGACGACACGGCGCGGCGCCCCCGCGCCACCAGAAGGTCGCCGAGCCGGGAGCCCTCGCGGCTCGCCTGACCTATGGCGAGCCGGTTGAGCGCCAGCGACGCCGGTCCGGACAGAACGGTCAGAAGATCGACGCCGAACCCTTCAAGGTCGGCGCGGTATGTGTCGGCGGGACGCTGCGGGCCGGAACCGCCGACGGCAACGCGCACCTTGGACGCCTGATAGGCGATCATCGCCGCCAGCACCCCGTCGCGGTCGCCGAACCATTTGTAGAGGCTTTCCTTGGAGCAATTGGCCGCACGCGCAAGGCCGGCGGTGGTGATCGCCCGCTCGCCGCCCTCCACCAGAAGGCCAAGCGCCGCTTCGAGCACCTCCTCCTGGCGCGGCGTGAACGCCTCGTCCAGCGGCGCGCCCTCCATGTCGGCATCGTGATGCGCATTGTGGTGGTGATGGTCCATCTTGCCTCCCACCCGTCCGTACCGTACCGTTCGGTACGGTGTCAAGAGACAGGGCGGCGCCTCTTTCCGGCATGACCCGACAGGTGCCATAAGACGGCCATGACCGCGCACCCCCCGATTCCCGTCCGCGCCACGGAAGCCGCCGACATCGCCGCGCTGGCGGCGATCATCAACGCGATCATCGCCATCGGCGGAACGACGGCCTACGAGGACCCGTTCACCGAGGATCGGTTGGCGGCCCTCCTGCTCGACGATCCGCGCCTGATCTGCTGCCACACCGCGGTCGATCCTGCCGACGGAATGCCGGCCGGCTATCAGGTGCTCAAGCGCCATCCCGATCTGCCGCCGCACTGGGGCGACATCGCCACCTTCGCCCGGGTCGAGCCGAAACTGCCCGGCGTCGGCCGGACGCTGTTCGCCGCAACCGCCGACTTTGCCCGCAAGGCTGGCTTGGTCGCCATCAACGCGACCATCCGGGCCGACAATGAAAGCGGGCTGGGCTATTATGGCAGAATGGGCTTTGAGGACCATGCCGTCACACGGGCCGTCCCGCTCAAGAACGGCACGCCCGTCGACCGGGTGTCGAAGCGGTTCCGGGTCGATGCATTGGCCGCTAAGGGCCCGCAATGACGGCATGTTGCCAGCCCGAAGACGGTTCGGCCATCTGCTCAACCGCAGCGCGATCAATGCCAGACGCGGCAGTGACCGATCGAGCTACCGGTCGGGAAAGCTGATCGACGTCACATCGGCCTTGAAGAACGGAAAGTAATCGTCCGTGCCGAACCAGTTGCCGCCCTCGATGCGGGTCGGCAGCCGGTAGCCGCCGAACTCGCGAAAGTCTGATGTCGTGCCGCCAAACGGCTGGACCTGATACACCTTGTCGGCATTGACATCGCTCCAGCGCGCAATGACGACGCTGGTCGGCTGGCCCTGCGAATCGACAATTATGTCCACGCTCTGTTCGAGGCCGGCAAAAGACACGATGGCGCGCGCGCTGTCCGCATCAAGCGCCTCCCAACGCACGTTCGGACCGGGCAGCAGCGCGGCCGGTGTCCAGAACGCGGCCTCGGCCACGGTTCGTCCGAACGCCGAACGGAAATGGTCGGCATCACCGCTGGTCCTTACCACCGGCACGAGGCCGAACAGCCAGAACCGCGTCCACGAAATGTCGGGCGTGGCGGCGTCCGATCCGCGGATCGCACCCGCCCGGACCCGCCAGACAAATCCATGTGGCGGCGCGAGAACCTGACGCGCCTGCATCGGATCGAAGTGCGACCGGTTCCTGTCTCCCCGCCCCAACTGCCCTTCCATCTCGATGATGGTGATCGTTCGAAGCGGCGTGCCTTCGGCAATCGTATAGAGAAAATACCGCTGTGCCGGCTCGGGCAGGCCGGCGACCATAGCCGGCGAAAACGATCCGGACTGGATCGGGCGCATCTCCAGCAGCGCCCGCCAGGCCGCCGCGTCGGCCCGCCGATCCGCATGCCGCCAGCCGAAGAGCGCGGCGACCGCAACAACCGCGATCACGCCGACGCAGACGAAAAAGACCGTCACTGCGTGCGCCATCGTCCCGTCCTCTCGCCGTTCCTGTCGTGAGCAACGGTGGCACGGCCAGGCTCTTGCGACAACGCGCGGCCTGCTTCAGGACGGCCGTTCTGTGAGGGCACCGAGGAACCGCGTCACCGCGCCCGCCATGCCGAATTCGAGCGCATCGGCCGTCAGGCCGTGGCCGATGGAGACTTCGGCCAGATCGGGCACGCGCGCGACAAGCGCCGGCAGATTGGCGACCGTCAGATCGTGGCCGGCATTGACGCCGAGCCCTGCCGCGCGCGCCGCGTCCGCCGTCTCGCCGAGGATCGCGATCTGCCGTTCGGCCTCGGCCGCATTGTCGTGGCAGGCGCCATAAGGTCCGGTGAACAGTTCGACCCGGTCGGTGCCGGTCGCCCTTGCCGCCGCAATGCCCGCCTCGCCCGCGTCGGGGTCGCAGAACAGCGATACCCGCATGCCGCCATCTTTCAGACGCTGCACGCAGTCGCGCAGGAAATTGCCCTGCCCTGAAAAATCCCAGCCATGGTCGGACGTTGCCTGGTTCGGATCGTCGGGCACCAGCGTGACCTGTTCGGGCTGGTTGGCTTCCACCAGCGCCAGGAAATCCTCGGATGGATAGCCCTCCACATTGAACTCGGCCTCCGGAAATTCGTCGTCGATCAGCGCCCGCAGCTCCGGCAGATCGGAAAAGCGCACATGCCGCTCGTCCGGTCTTGGATGGACGGTCAGCCCGCACGCGCCCGCCTCCAGCGCCATCCGGCCCAGATGCGTCACCGACGGCCAGGGCAGATCGCGCCGGTTCCGCAACAGGGCGACGGCGTTCAGATTGACGGAAAGTCGCGTGGTCACGGCCAGCATCCCCCGGTGAAAGCAATTTCCGGCTTGATATAGCGCAATGCCGCACCGTGCCAGTCATAGGAGTTTTTCCGGACAATCATTGTCCATGGCACCTGTTCGGAGCGCCCGATGATCGAAGTTGAAACCCTGCCCGGCGGAATCGTCTCGATCGACGTGACCGGCAAGCTCGACAAGGCCGACATCGAACACGTCATCACCGAACTCGAGGCTGCGCGCGAGGCGCACGGCAAGATCAGTGTCATTGTCGACCTGACCGGCTTTGCGGGCATGACCGCCGAGGCGCTGATCGCGGACCTGCGCTACGGCTTTTCCCATCTTTCGGAACTGGACCATTACGAGCGCATCGCGGTTCTGACGGGACACGACTGGATCGAAACGCTCGTCCGGCTCGAAGGCAGGGTTTTCCGGCGGGTCGACATTCGCTGCTTCAAGCCCGAAGAGCGCCAGCGGGCCCGCGCTTTCGCCAACGGCATGGATGTGGCGCCCGCCGAAACCACACCGGGCATCGTCCGCGTGCCCACTGATCGCGGCAACATGCTTGCCTTCCGGATCACCGACACGGTCCGCGCCGCCGACGCCAAGGCCGTGATGGGTTTTCTGAACGACACCTATGCGCGGCACGACAAGATCGACCTGATTGTGATCATCGATGAGTTCGAGGGATTCGACCCGGCGATCCTGTTCGACACCGGCACATGGAGCTCAAAGGCCAAGAGCCTCTCCCATGTCGGCCGCTATGCCATCGTCGGCGGCCCCGGCCATGTGCGCAACACGGCTTCGTTCCTCGGCGCATTCATGCCGGTGGAGATCAAGGCGTTCGCGCGCGACGAGGAAGACGAGGCCTGGGCCTGGCTCAACGCGGGCCCGCTTCTGGAAGTCTGACGGCGCTTGTCCGGGCCGTCCAGACGCACGTGTCGTGCAGAGGTTAAGCCCGAGGGTCACGGCGGTGGAAGCGTCCGCTTGCCGGCCTGATCACTTGACGATGGTCAGCCGCTCGGCGGCGCGGGTGATCGCCGTGTAAAGCCAGCGGTCGCGCATGTCGCGGAATGCAAAGCTCTCGTCGAACAGCATCACATTGTCCCATTGCGATCCCTGCGCCTTGTGCACGGTCAGCGCATAACCATAGTCGAAATCGTCGAACCGCCGCTTGAGCTGCCAGCCCACGTCCTCGTCGGGATTGTCGAAGGCGGCCTTCAGCAGTTTGATCTTCGCAACGCCCCGGTCGGTGTCGCCATCGTCCGGCGAGACCAGAAGGTTGATGCCGGGCTTGGAGCCGGGCGCCGACGCCGTCATCACCTTCCACAGCGACCCGTTCAAGAGCCCCTTGGCCGGATCGTTGCGCAGGCACACCAGCTTGTCGCCGGCCTGCGGATAACGCGCGTCGAACCCGGCCAGTTGCCGCAGGCGCTGATTGTAGCGGCGCCTCGTCCGGTTGATGCCGACCAGCACCTGGTCCGCTTCGGTGACCATCGCCGTGTCGAGATCGCCCTTGCCGATGATCTGCGCGGTGCCATAGTCGCCATGCATGATCTCGCGCCCCTCGCGCACATCCATGGCGAGCCGCACGATCGGGTTTTCCGCCGCCTGGCGGTGGATTTCGGTCAACAGGAAATCGGGCTCGGCGTCGGTGAAGAAACCGCCGCCGGAGATCGGCGGCAACTGGCCAGGATCGCCCAGCACCAGCACCGGCGTCCCGAAGCTCAAAAGATCGCGCCCCAGTTCCTCGCCGACCATCGAGCATTCGTCGACGATGACCAGCTTGGCCTTGGCGATGTCCGACTGGCGGTTGAGCGCAAAGGTCGGCGCTATGCCGGTCTTGCCGGTGACCTCGTCCGTCACCTCCTCCTCGCCGCGCGGCCGGTAGATCAGCGAATGGATGGTCTTGGCGTTCGAGGCGCCCTTGGCGCGCATCACCTGCGCGGCCTTGCCGGTGAAGGCGGCGAACTGGACGGTGCCATCGACGCCTTCGGCGAAGTGCTTGGCGAGCGTCGTCTTGCCCGTGCCCGCATAGCCGAACAGGCGGAACAACTGACTGTCGTCGCGCTTGAGCCAGTCGGCGACGGCGACCAGCGCATCGTCCTGTTGCGGGGAAAACTGCATGCGTCGGATTTAGGGGATTCGGCCAGCGGAGGAAAACGGAAAAGGCGCTACCTCCAACCGGCAGATGTCCACCTCGTGCCAATCATACGTCGTAACCGTCCCGTTTTCGGTGTCGCATTCCGGTTGGCCGTCCGGCCAACTCAACTCGACAAGCGAAAACACCATCCCGCTAGGCTAGCGCCCACCAAAGCTGTTTTCCGCATTTGTGCGAACGGCTTCTATGGCAGACGCCGTCGTCGCGAAGGTTTCTTCCAGCTTTCGAAACTCTTCGTTCTCCCGCTCCAGCTGGTCCAGCAAGTCGATCAGGTTATCAGTGTCGTTCCGCTCGCGGTTCTGGGCTTTCCTGCCAGCGATCCTTGCCACTGCGGCGCCCCATCTGGCTGCGCGTCTGACTTGTGCGACGTCAGCAGCTTCCTCGGCCATAGCTTCGCTCACTTCCTCAATCGCCTTCCACATCAGCTCCGTCGCTTCGTCTTTGGATGCCTTTGCGCTTTCTCGCTTGGCCCGCTGCAATCGCTCGCGCCACGAGAAAGAAAGATGTTGCTTCCGAAAATCCAATAGGCGCCGGCGACGTCCCTTTAGAAGCTCCGTCGCCTGCCACAGACTTCGCTCCGCCTGCATCTCCAATTCGGTGGCATTACTGAGAGCAGCGACGTAGTTTTCGTTGAGGCGTTTCCTGGCCGCTCTGATATTTGCCAGTTCCTCACGCGCGCTCGCGAGCGGCGAATTTCTGCTCGCCGTGATCGGCTTGCCCATTGCGCGAACGGGTGTCGCCATCACTTCGATGGCCAAGGTTTCCTGTGCCAGCTTGAGGTGCAAAGACATCGTCGCGATAGAACTCATCACCAAGGCGGCTGCGCGATCAAAGTTGCTCAGCATTTGTCGGGTTTGCTGAGCCCATTCGCGGACGCGGTCGCTCTTGCCCCACTTTTTCTCAAAAAAGCCCTCGAGAAATTCAATCGTGATCTGTTGGCCGTCTCGACGGACGTCCTCAAGATAGTCGTCGATCTCTGCGGTACAGGCGTCAGTAGCCGTTCGTCGGCGGGATGCTATGGCTGTGAAACGAGCAAACAGCTCCTCAGACTGGCTGACAAGCTCATTTTCCGGCAGTTCTTCCTTGCTTGTCATCGTCCCAAGATTCATCCCGTTGTATTGCCAAGTTTTCAGTCTTCCTCGAAAAGCAAACTGCGCGAAACTCTATTTGATGGCAATGCCACTGTCAGACCGGCCTGCCCGGTGGATCGACTCACTCTCTCTTCTCGAAAGTCGGGCACCGATTCGTGATCCAAAAAGCGAACTCTGGCTTCAAAGCGTGTGTGGCTCCAAACTAGGAGTGCCAGCCAAACCAACACCCCCCGCCCTGTGACCATTCGCACGGCGACGCCGACTGATGGCGCTCATGATGGCTCCCAATCGCGCGGTGGCACGCGCCGCCGCGTCCCACATCCAGCATTGGAGCGAACCATGAACCGCTATCTCTTCCCCCTTCTTGCATCCGCCCTTGCCCTCGCCGCCGTTCCGGCGACGGCACAGGAAATCGACGGCGTCTCGGTCGAAATCCGCACCGGCGGCGACGATCTGCGCGGCAATGACGACAACGCCTTTGCCTCGATCTGGTCCTACCGGGCCGACGGCCGCCAGCGCGGCATTCGCCGGCAGGTCAATCCCCGCGACCGCAGGATCAAGGACCACACGACGACGCACCTTTATTTCGATACGCCCGATGGCACCGAGGCGGACGACATCACCCTGTTCATCCTGAATGTGGAGGGGTTCTCGGGCGGCTTTGACGGCGACAATTGGAACGTCGATGCCATCCGCATCACCGGCATCAAGGACGGCATCACCGTCAAGGAATACATGAACGAGTTCGCCAACCCGCTGATCCGATTCACCGGCGACGTTCACACGTTCAGCCGGGACCTGCGCGTGCGATAGGCCAGCGGGCGCGGCAATTGCGGGCGCCACAACGGCGCCCGCCCGTCGCCTCGTCTTTCACTGTCGGCCGGCGCCGCATCACGGGGCGGCTGAACGCAAGAGCCTCCCCGGCGCGATGGCCGGCGGCGTGCCGGCGTGCCCGAACATCTGCCAGGCAAGGGCGAGATTGCTGGTGACGACCGGCAGGCCAAGACGCTCCTCGACATCGTCGACGATGTCGAGCGTGCGCAGGTTCGTGCACGAGACGAAAACGGCGTCGACGTCCGCCCTGCCGCCGACGGCCAGCGCGGCCTGCCGGATCGATTCCGGATCGATCCGCGCCACCCGCGCTTCGACCTGTTCGCCAAACGACAAGATGGCCGGCACGTCCAGCCCCGCCGCCACGAGCGCTTCGCGGATGGGCCCGGCAACGCTGTCGATATAGGGCGAGACCAGCCCGATCCGGCGGACGCCAAGCGCCTGCAGCGCTTCGATGGTGGCCGTCAGCGGGTCGGCCACCGCCCTGGTCCGGGTCGCGCCACGGACGAGTTGGGCGACCCGATCGGCGCCGATCAATGTTGCGCCCGACGTGCAGGCATAGCCGACGCTGTCAAAGGCCGCGGCTGGCGGCAACAGGCTTGCGGACTGCGGCAGGGCAGCCTCCATCGTCGCGATCGTCTCGGGCGTCAGATCGTCGCCGGAAGCGATCCGCGTGACGTGCAGCGCGATGTCGGGCGCCGCGCACAGCCGCCGGAAATCGTGTTCGACAGTCTCGTCCACGCGAAGCGCGATCAGCCCGAACGTGGCGCGTGTTCCGATTGGCCCCGACAGCCGGTAGGACGCGCCCGTCACGGCACGAGCTCCGGCAACTCGGCGGGCGCACGCTTTGACAGAAGTTCCGGCCCGCCGGCCCGCAGCACGATGTTTTCCTCATGCACCATGAACCGGCCGGGAACGACCTCGGCGCCGGGCTCCAGTGTCAGCACCATGCCTTCGCGCAGGATCGTCTCGTCCTTTGGCGAAATCGATGGCCACTCCGTCAGCGAAATGCCCAGACCGTGACCGAACCGGCCCGGTGCGGGCGTTGCTCCGTGCGCGCGCAGCGAGGCGCTCAAAAGCCCGTGGACGGCTCGGGCGGACATGCCCGGGCGAACCGCGTCGAGCGCCGTATCGGTTGCGGCGAACAGGGCCGCATGCGCCCGAAGGACCGCGTCGGTGGGCCGGCCGACCGCATAGTTGCGGTCGAAGTCGCAGAAATAGCCGTCCTTGACCGCGCCCGTGTCGAGCATCAGCACCTCGCCGCGTTGCAAGGGCCGCTCCTCGGCGGGCGAGATGACATCGCCATAGCCGTCCCTTCCAGCGCCGCCGGCGAGATAGCTGACCCAGTCGGCGCCGGCCGCGAGCAGCGCGGCCTGGAACGACCGGAACAGGCCGGCAAGCGTTCCGGCACCATGCGCAATCTCGGGCACGCGGGCAAACGCCGCGTCCGCGACGGCACAGACTGCGCGGATGCGCTCGATCTCCGGCTCGGACTTGATCTCGCGCACCCGCCGCACGGGCTCGGTCGCATCGACAAAGCGTCGCGGCCCGATGCGGCCCGAGACGGCGTCATAGGTGGCAAGCGGCATCCGCAAATGGGTTTCCTCGCCCATCGGGACGCCGATCCGCCCACCTTCGGGCACCATCTCGCAAAGCGTCTCGGCCAGCAGGCTTACGCCGTCGTCGTCCGGATCGGGCGCATCCCACGACCGGATATCGCGGACCCAGCTCCGCCCCATCAGCGCGGCACCGATGGCCGGGATCACCGCAACGGGATCGCCGGACGCCGGTACGATCACGAACCACGGCCTTGCCGGGCTTTCCCAGAACCGCGTCAGGAACCCGGTGACATAGAAGATGTCGGCCGGTGTCGTCAGGAGCAGCGCGTTCAGTTCCGCGTCATCCATCTGCGCCTGCAGCCCCGCGACACGCCGTCGGAACTCCGCTGCCGGAAAGACCAGCGAGCGCTCAACCATCTTCGGGGCCTTCGCTGAGAAAGGCGAGAACGCGTGTCGCAAGGTCAACGCCGACCGCGCCCGTCAACAAGGCTGCCACGCCCGCGGCACCGGACGGCGTCGTGGCAAACCCTGCACGCCCGAGCGCCGCGACACCCGCCGCGGCCTCCGCCTCGGTGATCGTGACGAACAGGTCGGCGTCGCGCGCCAGGCCGGCCAGCGCGATCATCGAGGGCGTCTTGCAGTCGAGCCGGCCCATCGAGGACACCGGCCCGTCCGTATCGATCACCCTGCCGGCGCGGATGCTGTCGATCAGCGCAGGCGCGGCTTCCGGTTCGACGACGACGATCCGCGGACCATCGCCCCAGACCGACCTTGCATGGGCCGCGACCGCCGCCGCCATGCCGCCAACCCCGGCCTGCAACAGGATGACGCCGGGCGGGTCGCCGATCTGCCCGGCGGCCTCGCTCGCCATCTGCAGATAGCCCTCCATCACGCGATACGGCATCTCGGTGTAGCCGGGCCAGGAACTGTCGGACAGCAGCGTTGCGTCGGTGGCGGCGGCGGCTTCGGCGGCAGCCATGCTCTCCTCATAGGTGGCGCCTGCACGCCGAACCTGCGCACCCTTGGCCCGCAGCCGCTCGGCGAACGTCTCGGGCACGGTTTCGGCCAGGTAGACCACGGCGTCGGCGCCGAAAAGCCGCGCGCCTACGGCAACCGACAGGCCGTGATTGCCCGCACTGGCCGTCACGAAGGTGCGCCCGGCGAGCGCGTCCGACCAATTGTCTCCCTGACGCGCATCGGCGGCCTGGCGGGCAATGGCATATGCCGCGCCAAGGGCCTTGAAAGAGCCAAGCCCCATTCTCGACCGCTCGTCCTTGAGCATCAACTGGCCGACGCCGGCCTTTTCGGCCAGCCCCGGCGCATCCGCGAGCGGCGTCGGCGCGTGGGCCGGGCACAGGTCCAGAAGGTCGGCGACCGCCCGCCCATCATGGGCGGGCAAGGGCGAAACAAGGTCTGGCAGACCCGCGCCGCGGTGGGGGTTGATCAGGCGGTCGGCCAACGACCGTCTCCCCTTTTCGGTCTGCGACGCCGGCCGTGCACGCTCACATCACCTCGCGGCCACGTCGCATGGCGGCAACACCGGTGCGGCAGACCTCGACCAGGCCGAGCGGCGCCATGATGGCGATGAACTGCTCGACCTTGTTGGTCCGGCCGGTCAGCTCAAAGACGAAATGATCGACATTGGCGTCGATCACATTGGCCTTGAACGCATCGGCCAGCCGCAGCGCCTCGAGCCGGTTTTCCCCCGCACCGCGCACCTTGATCAGCGCCAGTTCCCGCTCCAGCGGCTTCTCGTAGCCTTCATGATGGGCGATGACGGTCAGGTCCGTCACCTTGTGCACCGGCACGATCCGTTCGAGCTGGGTATGGATCTGCTCCATCACCTGCGGCGTGCCGCTGGTGACGATGGTGATCCGCGACAGGTGCTTTTCGTGCTCGGTCTCGGAAACCGTCAGGCTTTCGATGTTGTAGCCGCGGCCGGAGAAAAGGCCGATCACCCGCGCCAGCACACCCGGTTCATTGTCGACCAGGATCGACAATGTGTGGCTTTCGGGCGCCGACGTGTCCTTGGTGATGAAATAGGCCGAGGCCGGTTCGGATTGCGGTTCGTTCATGGTCTGGGACTTTCATTGACGGGTGAGGAACGGGCAGCCGGCTTGAGGCGGGCGACCACCACGCCGGACACGATGATGACGAGCGCCGCCAGCGCGTTCAGGCCCGGCCGCTCGCCGGCGAACATGACGCCGACCAGAACCCCGGCCAACGGCACAAGAAGGTTGATCTGGCCGAAAAACGAAGCGCCCTGCCGCTCGATGATGGCGAACATGAACAGCGCGCCGACAGCGGAGGGGAAAACGCCCAGTGCGACAAGCGCCAGCACCGACGACTGCGTCGGCGTCGCGGCGAAGGGCTGCTCGAACAGGAACGTGAGCGGAACGAGGATCACCAGCGTCCACAGCGTGATATAGGTCATCAGCACCATGGGCGGATGACGCACGAGCTGCTTGACCGACAGCGCGTTGACGCCATAGGCCGTCGCCGCGCCGAGCACGGCGAGCTGGCGCCACACATCCCTGCCGAACCCTTCGACCAGCGCCGGCCAGAACAGGATGGCAAGGCCGATCAGGCCGAGCACGACGCCGGCCACCTTCGGCACCGTCAGCTTCTCGTCGCGCGTCAGGAAATGCGCCAGCACCAGCACGACCAGCGGCATGAAGCCCATCAGGATCGCCGCCAGCCCGCTGTCGATCACCGCAACGCCCCAATTGATGGCGGTGAACGGGATCACCGTGCCGGTCGCCGCGCAGATGATCATGAACAGCTGGTCGCGCCGCGTCGGCCGGAACAATGGCCGGCGCAGCGCCAGAACGATGCCGCCCAGAAGCAGTACGGCAAGCACTTGCCGGACGAGCGTGATCGTCAACGGTGCGAAGTCGGCCACCGCGATCTTCGACAAAAGGAACGCGCTGCCCCAGATCAGCGAAAGCGTGACGAGCAGACCGTAGTCGGCAACGCCGGGAGCGGATCGGTTCATCTGCCGGCGCCGCGCAGGGGATCACACAAGCGCCTTGCCTTCGGCGCCGATCGCATTGGCGACCGCCTCGTCGGTCGCTTCGTCCGGCAGAAGCATCTCATTGTGTGCCTTGCCCGACGGGATCATCGGGAAACAGTTGGCCAGCGCCGCCACCCGGCAGTCGAAGATGACCGGCCCGTCGATCTCGATCATTTCGGCCAGCGCATCGTCGAGCTTGCCGGGCTTGTCGCAATAGATGCCATGGGCCCCATAGGCCTCCGCCAGCTTGACGAAATCGGGCATCGCCTCGGTGTAGGAGTGCGAGCGGCGATTGCCGTGCAGCAATTGCTGCCACTGGCGCACCATGCCCATATACTGGTTGTTGAGGATGAAGATCTTGATCGGCGTGCCGTACTGGATCGCCGTCGACATTTCCTGGATGTTCATCTGGATCGAGGCGTCGCCGGCAATGTCGATGACCAGCGCGTCGGGATGGGCGATCTGCACGCCCAGCGCCGCCGGCAGGCCGTAGCCCATCGTGCCCAGCCCGCCCGATGTCATCCAGCGATTGGGCTTGTCGAAACCGAAATATTGCGCCGCCCACATCTGGTGCTGGCCCACTTCCGTGGTGATGAACGTGTCCTTGCCGCTCGCCCTGGACGCCTCGTAGAGCCGCTGGATCGCATATTGCGGCATGATCACGTCGCCCGATGGCGAATAGGCCAGCGAGTCGCGTGCCTTCCACTTGCCGATCTGCTCCCACCAGGGCGCATGCTTTTTCCTGTCGGGCCTGTGGCCGGCCGATCGCCACGCGTCCAGCAGCGCCTCGAGCGCATGGGCCACATCGGCGACGATGCCGACTTCGGTGTGGACGACCTTGTTGATCGACGAGGGATCGATATCGATGTGGATCTTGCGCGAGTTCGGCGAGAACGCGTCGATCCGGCCGGTGATGCGGTCGTCGAAGCGCGCGCCGATATTGATCATCACGTCGCAATCATGCATCGCCATGTTCGCTTCATAGGTGCCGTGCATGCCCAGCATGCCGATCCAGTTTTCGCCCGAGGCCGGATAGGCGCCAAGGCCCATCAGTGTCGAGGTGATCGGAAAGCCGGTCTCGGCCACCAGTTCGCGCAACAGCTCGCTGCCGCGATCGCCGGAATTGATCACGCCGCCGCCCGAATAGATGATCGGCTTCCTGGCTGACGCCATCAGCGCGACGGCGCGGCGGATCGCATCGGCGTCCGGGTCCATGACGGGCCGGTAGCTGACACGCTCCTGGGCAACGTGCGGCCCCTCATAGATGCCCGAGGCGAACTGGACATCCTTGGGTATGTCGACGACGACCGGACCCGGACGGCCCGTCTGGGCGACATGGAATGCCTCGTGCAGGATGCGCGGCAGGTCGGCGACCGATTTGACCAGCCAGTTGTACTTGGTGCAGGGCCGCGTGATGCCGACCGTGTCGCACTCTTGGAAAGCGTCCGAACCGATCAGCGTGGTCGGCACCTGCCCGGTGATGCACACCATCGGGATCGAATCCATCAGCGCGTCCTGCAGCGCGGTGACGCAGTTCGTGGCGCCCGGGCCCGATGTCGCCAAGACGACGCCGACCTTGCCGGTCGACCGCGCATAGCCTTCGGCCGCATGGCCGGCGCCCTGCTCGTGCCGCACCAGAATGTGCTCGATCGCGTCCTGCTGGAACAGTTCGTCATAGATCGGCAGCACCGCGCCGCCCGGATAGCCGAATATGTGCCGGACGCCATTGTCCTTCAGCGCTTCCAGCACCATCTCGGCGCCCGTCATTTCCTGGCCCGCTTTCGTGTCCGCCTTGGCATCCATTGTCTTCATCCCGTCCGGCTCTCTGGCCTGTGCACAAATTTTCGTCGTTTGCTTGCTGAAAGGCAATAAAAAAGGCTCCTCGAAGGGGAGCCTGTCATCGCGCATGGGTGGATCGTGCCCGGTGGCTACGCCACCTTGCCCATGCGCGGTCCTACTACGATAAGCATCGTCGTCATCATCATTGCGGTGTCATAGTCCCGGTATCGGAGCCGGTCAAGCCGTCCGCTGCGGTAGCGTTTCCTTAACCACGATGCCATAGCCTCGTGCGGTAACAGGTCCGGCTCCATGTACCGAAAAGAACAACCCGATCCGGGCGAGGCCCAACTGGCCAAGGAGCGCGCGCCGCTGCCGCGGCGCAACCGCACCGAAGGCCATGTCATCGAGTGCGACGGCAACCGTGCCGTCATCAGCGCGGATGTCGAGCCGGGCGGTGCGGTTTCGGAGGACTACTGGTCGGTCGGCACGCTGATCACCATCCGCGCCGACTCCAGGCGCACGGTCGGCATGCTCTACCAGATCGAGAGCGTCGAGCAGTTCTGGCAGTCCAAGACGCCCAACAAGGTGCGCCTTCATGTCGAACTGGTTGGCGAGATCGGCGACGATGCCGATGGCCGGCCGGTCTTCAATGGCGGCCTGTCGAGCTATCCGCATCTGGGCGCCGCAGCCCACCGCATCCGCAACGCCGACCTGCAGGCGATCTTTGCCAACACCGATCCGTCGGCTGTCTCTGTCGGCGCGTTGTCGCAAAGCCGCGACATTGACGCGATGGTGTCGATCAATTCGATGATCTCCCGCCATTTCGCCGTCGTTGGCACGACCGGCGTCGGCAAGTCGACCACCGTTTCGCTGCTCGTGCGCAAGCTCGTCGCCACCCGTTCGGATGTCGGCATACTGGTCCTCGACCCGCACAATGAGTTCGCCAGCGCGTTTCCCGACATTTCGGTGACGATCGACGACACCAATCTCGACCTGCCGTTCTGGCTCTTCCGGCTCGAAGAATTCGTCGAAGTGCTGTTCCGCGGCCGGCCGGCCGAGCCCGAGGAGGTCGACATTCTGCGCGACCTCATTCCCGAGGCCAAACAGAAATTCAAGGCCGGCGGCACGGGCCGCGGCGCACGCAAACCCGGCGCTCACGGCAACATCACCGCAGACACGCCGATTCCCTACCGCGTGTCCGATCTTCTGGCGCTGATCGACCACCGCATGGGCAAGCTCGACGGTCGAGAGGCCCGCAGCGCGCTCAAGTCGCTGGCCGCGCGGATCAATGCTGCGGTCCACGATCCGCGCTATCGCTTCATGTTCGCCCATAAGACCATCGTCGACAATCTCGCCGAGGTTCTGTCGCACATCTATCGCGTGCCGGCGGATGGAAAGCCGGTCACCATCTTCCAGCTCAACGGCATCCCCTCCGAAGTGGTCAACGCCGTGGTCAGCGTGCTGTGCCGGCTGGCATTCGAGATGTCCGTCTGGAGCAAGGCGCGCATCAAGACAGTCGTCCTGTGCGAGGAAGCGCACCGCTACATTCCCGCCGACGTCGGCGCCGGCTTCGGCCCTACCCGCGCCGCCATCGCGCGCATCGCCAAGGAAGGCCGCAAATATGGCGTCAGCCTGGGCATCATCACGCAGCGGCCCAGTGAACTGGATCCGACAATCCTGTCGCAGTGCAACACAATGTTCGCCATGCGGCTGGGCAACGATGCCGACCAGCAGATCATGCGCAAGGCGATCACCGGAGCCTCGCGCTCCTACATCAATTTCCTGCCATCGCTGGCCAACCGCGAGGCGATCGCGTTCGGCCAGGGCGTCAGCACGCCGATGCGGCTGATGGTCGAGGCCGTTGCCGACGACTGCCTGCCGGGCAACGAGTTGGGCAGCCAGACGGAGACAGAAACCGATGACGGGAGCACCGTCGACATGGCGGCCCTGCTCCAGACCATCCGCGACCCAGGCGACGCGCTGACCGACGACGAAACAGACGACGGGCTTGCCGTCTATGCCGAAACGGCGGCGGTGGGCGAGCAACGGCCCTCCGTCAGCGCTCGCCATTCAGCGGCCGGAACGCGCGAACCCATGCCCGCCGGACCTATGCCCGCCGAACCGGTGATCGGTGCCGGCGACGCCCATGCCGGCCTTTTTACCTATGAAGGACCGTTGCGCCGGGACCGCGACAAGCCCGCACACCGCCGCTCCGACGCGCCAACCTCTCCGAAGCGGCCCGAGACGTCCGGCTCGTCGCGCGACCTGATCAGCCGGTTCCGCACAAGGGACAAGGACTGACGGCGCTGGGCAAACCTCTTCAGGGCATCGTCGCCGGCGCGACGGCTTCGCCGGCATCGACCCTCTGCCACTCATCGCCCAACTGATTTCGGAACCAGGTCATCTGGCGCTTGGCATATTGCCGGGTGGCGGTCTTGGCGCGGACGATCGCCGCGTCCTCTTTCATCGAACCGTCCAGGACCGCGCCCAGTTCGCGCACACCGATCGCCTTCATCGCCGGCATGTCAGGCGGCAGGCCGAGCGCGCGCAGCCGACGCACCTCGTCCAGAGCGCCGGCGGCGATCATCGCATCGAAACGCGCCTCGATCCGCGCATGGAGCTCCGCCCTGTCGGGCATCACGAGCCATCTTTGCGTGATCGCGCCGGGGGAAAGAACCGGCTCGGCGGCCCGCCCCTGCCAGTCCGCCAGCGGCAGGCCCGAGGCTTTCAAGACCTCCAGCGCCCGCACGATGCGCTGGCCGTCGCCCGGTTCGAGCATGGATGCGCCCGCCGGATCGCACGCCGCCAGCTCCGCGTGCAAGGCCGGCGCGCCTTCGGCCGCAAGCCTGGCGCGCAAGTCGGAGCGGACCGCGTCCGGCACGTCCGGCATAGGCGACAGGCCCGCTGTCAGCGCGCGGAAGTAGAGCCCCGTTCCTCCGACGAAGATCAGCAACGCGTCCGCCGGCAACCGTTTAAGCAAGGCCCGCACGTCACGCGCCCATGCGCCGGTCGAATAGGCAACCGCCGGCGCGACATGACCGTAAAGATGGTGCGGCACCGTCGCCATCTCGCGCGCCGCCGGACGCGCGGTGAGGATGCGCAATCCGTCATAGACCTGCATGGAATCGGCGTTGACGATGTGACCGCCGTGCCGCGCCGCAAGGTCGAGCGCCAGCGCCGACTTGCCGCTTGCGGTGGGGCCGGCTATCAGCGTGATCGTTCGTTCCATCTGTCCGTGGCTCTACCGGGCCGCATCTGCGCTCATGTCCCATATCATCACGCTGATTGCCAATCCTGCAACGCGCGCGCTCGATCCCGCGCTGGCCGAAAGCGCGGCGACAGCCGTCGGCGCACACGCGGTGACATGGCTCGGCGAGAGTCTGGCGGCCGATCTCGCCGTCGATCGGGCCGAGGGACATGCGGCAGCGCTTGCCGATGTCATCGGGAACGCTCCGATCGACCATGTCGTCCAGACCGATGAGGGGCCCGACGCGCGGCGCAGGGCGATCCTGCTCGCCGACATGGATTCGACCATGATCCGGCAGGAGTGCATCGACGAACTGGCCGCCGAGGCCGGCATCAAGGACAAGGTCGCGGCGATCACCGCCCGCGCCATGAATGGCGAGATCGAATTTGAAGGCGCGCTGCGCGAGCGCGTGGCGCTGCTCGAAGGTCTGCCTCTTGATGTGATCGACAAGGTCATCGCCGAGCGGATCGAACTGACGCCAGGCGGGCGCGAACTGGTCCGCACCATGGCCGCGAACGGCGCCCATTGCGCGCTCGTTTCAGGCGGCTTCACCCATTTCACCGCACGGATCGCCGATATGGTCGGCTTTCACGAGCACCGCGCCAACCGCCTGATCCACGAGGACGGCAAGCTGACGGGCAAGGTGGCCGAACCGATCCTGGGCAAAAAGGCCAAGGCCGACGCGCTGATGGAGATCGCCGAACGGCTGGGCATCGGTACCGGCCGGGCGATCGCGGTGGGCGACGGCGCCAATGATCTGGCGATGCTCGAAATGGCCGGCGCCGGTGTTGCCCTGCACGCCAAGCCGGCGGTTGCCGAAAAGGCCGGCATGCGCATCGACCATGGCGACCTGACCGCGCTGCTGTTCATCCAGGGCTACCGCGAAGACGAGATCGTGCGCTGAGCGGAGCCCGCGCCAGCCTGCCGATCGGTGGACAGGCAGGCCCGCCTCAGTCGATCCGGATGGTCACGAAGCGCAGCGCGCCGTCGGTGCCCGCAAGCATCAGCAGCGCATTGCGTCGATCGCTCTCCTGCAGCGCGGTGATCGCCTCTTCGACATCGGCGGGCGTCGAAACGCTTTCCTGCGCGATCTCGACGATCACGTCGCCGGCCGCGACTCCCCGGTTTGCGGCGGCCGAACCCTCTTCGACCGCCGTGACGACGACACCGCCGGACACCTCGTCGGAAATGCCGAATTGCTCGCGCTGCGCATCGCCGAGTTCCGCGAGCGTCATGCCGAACAGTTCGACCGTCTCCACGGCTTCGCCGCCATCCTCGCCGGCCGGTTCGGCGGTCAGCGCAAGCTGCTCGCCATCCTCGAGCCTGCCCAGCGTGACCTGGACGGTCTGCTCCTCGCCATCGCGCAGCACGACGACATCGACTTCCTTGCCGACCGGCGATTCGGCGACGATCCGCGGCAGTTCGCGCATCGTCTCGACGGGCTTGCCATCGAAGGTGATGATCACATCGCCGGGCTCGATCGAGCCATCATCGACGGGCCCTCCTTCGATCACGCCGGCAACCAGCGCGCCCATCGTCTGGTCCATTCCCAGGCTTTCTGCGATATCGTCGGTGACCTGCTGGATGCGCACGCCGAGCCAGCCGCGCCGGGTTTCGCCGAACTCGCGCAACTGCTCGATCACGCCGATGGCCAGATCGGTCGGAATGGCAAAGCCGATGCCGATCGAACCGCCGGACGGTGAGATGATCGCCGTGTTGATGCCGATCACCTCGCCATTCATGTTGAACAGCGGACCGCCGGAATTGCCGCGGTTGATGGCGGCGTCCGTCTGGATGAAATTGTCGTAGGGGCCCGAATTGATGTCGCGTCCGAAAGCCGAGACGATGCCCACCGACACCGAGCCCCCAAGGCCGAACGGGTTGCCGATCGCCAGCACCCAGTCGCCGACCCGCATCGCCTCGGAATCGCCGAGCGGCACCGCCTGCATGTCGGGGTTTTCCGACGGATCGATCTTCAGGACCGCGAGATCCGTCTTGGGGTCCGTGCCGATGATTTCGGCCGTGATCGAACTGCCATCGTTGAAATTGGCGACCACCTCGTCGGCGTCCGCGATCACATGGTTGTTGGTGACGATGATGCCTTCCTCGGCATCGATGACGAAACCCGAACCGAGCGACTGCACGCTGCGCTCGCCGCGTCCCCGGCCCTCGCCGTCAGGCAGGCTGTCGAAAAACTCGTCGAAGAATTCCTGGAATGGCGATCCTTCCGGCAGGCGCGGCCGCGGCACGTTGCGTTCACCGCCGCTGACGCGCTGCGAGGTCGAGATGTTGACGACCGAATCGATCAGCCGGTCGGACAGGTCCGCCAGCGATTGGGGCCCTTCCTGGGCATGCGCAATGCCGCCCTGACCAAGCGGCACGGGTGCCGGCTGCACCGCCGTCAGCGCGGCGATGCCGAGCGTTGCCAGAACCATTTTCGCGCGCGGCGCGGTCGAGCCAGAACCCATTGGCGCTTTCCTCCAAAGGCTGTGCCCTTGCGGGCGGAACAATGCCGGCCGGACATCATCCGGACATGCGGTCGAAAATAAGGCCGCCTGGTTGTGATGCAAGCGCGGCGCGGGTCGGCGCCGCCCATGTCACGTCTTCGTGACGCGGACCCTCACAGAAAGGTCCGCGCCAGCCAGACGATTCCCACCCCGATCGCCGCCGAGGCGAGCCCGGCGATGCGCAGCTGGTCCGCCGGCGCGGTGCGCAGGAACTCGCCGATCCGCCGCCCCAGGTCGGGAAAGGCGCCATAGACGATGCCCTCGATCACGAGAACCAGCCCGAGCGCGGTGACAAGGTCGGCCATGTCGGGCCGTCGTGCCGCTTACGGTGCCCGCCTCGGCGCCGGCGGCCGGCCTTCGGCATCCTGGAAGAACTGGAAGAACTCCGAATCGGGCGAAAGGACCATCGTCGTGCCGCCATCCTGCATGGCCCGCTCATAAGCGATCATCGACCGGTAGAACTCGAAGAAGTCCGGATCGCGCGTGAACGCCTCGGCGAATATGCGGTTGCGTTCCGCGTCGCCCTCACCGCGCAGGATCTCCGATTCGCGCCGCGCCTCGGACAGGATCTCCACGACCTGGCGGTCGGCCACGGCGCGGATGCGCTGGGCGTTCTCACGGCCGCGCGCACGAAGCCGCTCGGCTTCGGCAAGGCGCTCGGCGCTCATCCGGTCGAATGTCTGCTGCGAGACCTCTGCGGTCAGGTCGGTGCGCACGATGCGCACATCGTCGATCGTCAGGCCGAGTTGCTGGGCGTCCGGACGCAGCAGGTCGCGCACCTCGCGCATCATCTCGGTCCGCTCCTCGGACAGCGCCGCCTCGAAGCCGCGCAGACCGTAGACCCGGCGCAGAGCCGCATCGAAACGGGTGCGCAGACGGGCCGCCGCCGAATTGAGATCACCGGAGACCTGCTCGCGGAAGCGCCGCGCATCGGTGATCTGGAACGTCAGGAAGGCGTCGACTTCATAGAAGCGGCCACCGGACACCTGCACGGGCGGCGAATCAACCAGATCGAGCCGCAGCAGGCGGTCCTCGATAATCTGCACCGTGTCGAAGCCGGCAAAGGCGAACGGCGCCTTGAAGTAGAGGCCCGGCTCGGTCTTGACGTCCTGGATTTCGCCGAAGCGCAGCACGATCGCCTGTTCGCGCTCATTGACGACGAAGATCGACGCATAAACCAGAACGAGGATCAGGCCGAGAACAAAGGCGATGATCGGGATACGGTTGCCTGAAAACATTACTGGTTCACTCCATCCTGCGCGGTGGTCTGCCGGCGGTTCTGGATCTCGGGCAGCGGCAGATAGGGCACGACGCCCGAGCCTCCGCCTTCCTCGTCGAGGATCACCTTGTTGGAATTGCCAAGCACGCCTTCCATCGTCTCGAGGAACAGGCGCTTGCGCGTCACGTCCGGCGCCAGGCGATACTGGTCGTAGATCGAGATGAAGCGCTGTGCCTCACCCTCGGCTTCCTGCACGACCTGGGTCGCGTAGGCCGCCGCGTCTTCGCGGATCTGCGCCGCTTCACCCCGGGCCTGACCGAGCTGCTGGTTCGAATACTGGTTGGCTTCCTCGCGGAAGCGGTCCTCGTCCTGCTCGGCACGCTGGACTTCCTCGAACGCGTCGGCCACTTCGCGCGGCGGCGCGGCGTCCTCGATGGAGACCGTGTTGATCTGGATGCCGGCGCCATAGCTGTCCAGCGTCGCCTGCATGGAGGTGCGCACCTCGTCGGCGATCGCCGCACGGTTGTCGCGGAAAACGTCCTGTGCAGGACGGCGGCCGACGATCTCGCGCATGGCGCTTTCGGCCACCTGGCGAACCGCATCGTCGGGACCGGCCACGTTGAACAGGTAAGAGCGCGGGTCGATCACCGAATAAAGGACCGAGAACTGCACATCGACAATGTTCTGGTCGCCCGACAGCATCAGCCCGTTGGAACCGCCCCGCCCCGTGCCCGAGCCGACCTGGATCTGCTTTTCGACGATCTGAACCTTTTCTACCGTCTCGACCGGCCAGAAATGGAAGTGAAGACCCGGCGCCGACAGTTCGGCCTTGGGCTTGCCGAACAGAAGTTCGACCGCGCGCTCGTCGGTATCGACCTGGTAGAAGGCCTGCAGCCCGTAGAGCACCAGCGCACCGACGACGAGCAGGCCGATCAGGGCGCGGCCGCCGCCGCCACCGCCGCCCGGAAGGGCGCGTTTGAGCCGGTCCTGGCCCTGACGGATGATGTCCTCGAGATCCGGCGGCTGGCCGCCGCCGCCCGGACGGTTGGGGCCGCGCGGCCCCTGCCCCCACGGGCCGCCGCCATTGCCGCCGCCACCGCCCCAGGGGCCGCCATTCTTGTCGCCGCCGCCGCCCCAGGGGCCGCCGCCGCCATTCTGATTGCTCCAGGGCATCCAAAACCTCTCGATACGAAAAAACAAGGCGTTGAGCCGAAAGGCCGAACGCACTCCGTAGAGGGGTTATAGGAACGCGCCCCTGCCCTTTCAACGAAAACCGGAGCGAAATCGGCATGGCCCGGTGCGGCCAAATTGCCGCGCGGGCATCCATCGGCGCCTGCCGGGCCGCCGCCCGCACGAACCGAAAATCCGTGACTTGCACGGCGACCGGGCCATATAGTGGTCGGTGCGCGCTGCGCGCGCTGTGTCAATTGGGAGGTAGGCATGACATTCATTTCACGCAGAACGTTCGTTTCGGCCACGCTCGCCGCGGGGCTCGCGCTCGGCTCGGCGAGCGGCGTGTTTGCGCAGGAAGCGCGCAATTACATCCTGGCGACCGCATCGACCGGCGGCACCTATTATCCGGTCGGCGTCGCCATCTCGACGCTCACCAAGGTGCGGCTCGAGCCCAAGGAAAAGATCGGCATGAGCGCCATCTCCTCGGCCGGCTCGGGCGAGAATGTCCGGCTTATCCGCGAGGGCGAGGCGCAGTTTGCGATCCTTCAGGGCCTGTTCGGCTATTACGCGGCGACCGGCACCGGCCCGGTCGAAGCGGACGGTCCGCAGGAGCATCTGCGCTCGGTCTCCATGCTGTGGCAGAATGTCGAGCACTTCATCATCGCCTCGGACCGCGTCGAAAGCGGAACCGTATCCGACGTACTGGCGCTCAAGGGCGAGGCGATGGCGATGGGCCGGCAGAATTCCGGCACGATCGGCTCCAACCGCACCATCCTGTCGGGCTTCGGCGTCGACATGGACAATGAGTATGAACTGGTTTTCGGCGGCTACGGCCCCAGCGCGGAAGCCGTCCAGAACGGACAGGCCGTCGGCATGTCGACGCCCGCCGGCGTGCCCGTCGGCGCGGTCACGCAGCTCTTTTCGGCCGCCGGCGACCGGGTGACGCTCCTGTCGTTCACGCCCGAGGAAATCGAAATGGCCGATGGCGGCCGCGGCCTGTGGACCGAATATGTCATCCCCGCCGGCACCTATCCGGGCGTCGATGAGGACGTGACGACCATCGCGCAGCCCAACTTCCTAGCGACCCATGCCGACATCCCCGAGGAGGATGTCTACCAGATCACCAAGACCATGTATGAGAACCTGCCCTTCCTGCAGGCGATCCACCCGGCGACCAAGGCGATGGCGCTGGAGCGGGCGATTGCCGGCCTGCCGGTGCCGCTGCATCCCGGCGCGGCCCGCTACTATCAGGAACAGGGTCTGGAAATCCCCGACAATCTGATGGCGCAGTAATGGCGCTTGCGGCGGGCGCGACCGTGCCCGCCGCGCTTTCTTCCTGACCGGCCGGTAAATCCATGCGCGCCGACACCATCCAGCAGACGCGCAGCCCCTCGCTGTTCGACCGGCGCGGGCTTTCGCTCGCCGCGCTGATCGTCGGCGTCACCATCTCGCTCGCCCATATCTGGATGAACTCGTTCGGCAACGTGTCGACCATCCACCAGAACGGCTTTCACTTCGCCGGTTTCGTGCTTTTGTGCGTGCTGGTCACGCCGCTGGTGAAGAAGGGCTGGGCCGAGCGCCCGCTGTTCCGCGCCTTCGACATCGCCTTCGGCGCCATGGTCGCCTTTGCCGCGCTTTGGGTCGTCAACGCCGAAAGCGCCATCTACGACCGCGGCGTGCGCCTGATCTGGTCGGACTGGCTGGCCGGGAGCCTGTGCATCATCGGCGTCCTCGAATTCACACGCCGCACGACCGGCTGGATCATCCCCTTCCTGATCGTCGCCTCGCTCACCTACATCGTCTGGTGGGGGCAATATGTGCCCGGCGTCTTCCGCTTCGGCGGCCTGTCGCCCGAAACGATCATGTTCCGCGCCATGTATGGCGACGACGCCATGTTCGGCACGATCGCCCGCATCTCGTCGACCTTCGTCTTCATGTTCATCCTGTTCGGCGCGTTCCTTCTGAAATCCGGCGCCGGCGATTTCATCGTGGATGTCTCACGCGTTGTCGCCGGGCGGTTCATCGGCGGGCCGGGCTTCGTCGCTGTGATGGCTTCGGGGCTGACCGGCACGATCTCCGGCTCGGCCGTCGCCAACACCGCATCCACCGGCGTGATCACCATCCCGCTGATGAAGCGGGCGGGCTTCCCGAAACACTTTGCCGGCGGCGTCGAGGCCGCCTCGTCCACCGGCGGGCAACTGATGCCGCCCATCATGGGCGCCGGCGCCTTCGTCATGGCGTCGTTTACGCAGATTCCCTACACCACCATCGTCACCGTCTCGATCCTGCCGGCGATCCTCTATTTCGCGACCGTGGGCTTTTTCGTGCGCATCGAGGCCAAGCGTTCCAATGCGACGGCCTTGGCCGAAGAGGACGGGCCGGGCTTCTGGGAAGTGTTCCGCCGCGGCGGGCCGCCCTTCATCCTGCCGGTCGGCCTTCTGATCGGGCTTCTGGTCTATGGCTACACGCCCACCTATGCGGCCGGCTTTGCGATCCTGACCTGCATCGCCGCCTCCTGGCTGACGCCGAACCGCATGGGCCCGGTGAAGATCATCGAGGCGCTGGAACTGGGCGCGCGGAACATGATCATGACGGGCATCCTGCTGTGCGGCGTCGGGCTGATCGTCAACGTCATCACCACGGCGGGCATCGGCAACACCTTCTCGCTGATGATCGCGCAATGGTCGGACGGCTCGATGCTGATCGCTCTGGCGCTGGTGGCGCTCGCCTCGCTCGTGCTCGGCATGGGTCTGCCGGTCACCGCCGCCTACATCGTCCTTGGAACATTGTCGGCACCGGCACTCAACCAGCTCATTCTGGAAGGCCAGACGGTCGAACTGATCGCCGCCGGCCAATTGCCCGAAACGGCGAAGGCCATGTTCATGATTGCCGTGCCCGACCAGATCGCCGCGCTCGCGGCGCCCATGTCGATGGCCGAGGCGCGCGCCATCGTCGATGCCCTGCCGCCCGAACTGATGCTGCAGGTCTACGATCTGGCGTTCGATCCGGCGGCGCTGACATTGGCGCTTCTGTCGGCGCACATGATCATCTTCTGGCTGAGCCAGGATTCAAACGTCACCCCGCCCGTGTGCCTCGCCGCCTTCACCGCCGCGGCGATCGCCGAGTCGCCGCCCATGAAGACAGGCGTCGCCGCCTGGAAGGTGGCCAAGGGGCTCTATTTCGTGCCGCTCCTGTTCGCCTATACGCCCTTCCTGTCGGGCAACTGGCCGGAAATGCTGGAGATTTTCGCCTTCGCCCTGCCCGGCCTCTGGGCTGTTTCCGCCGCCATTCAGGGCCATTGGGAAAACCGGCTCCATCCGATCGAGCGCGTTCTCGTCCTTGCTGTCGGCGCAACGCTGATGTGGCCCATCGGCGGGCTGGTGCATCTGGTCGCGCTTGCGGCGTTTGTGGGGCTGTTCTGGTGGAATGTCAGGAAGGGGCGGACGGCGGCGGCATGAGCGTTGGTGCAGCGCTCTACACCCTCCGTCATCCCGAACCTACCCTCCGTCATTCCTGTGCTTGTCACAGGGATGACGGCGGATCGGAGACGCCTCGGCGCTTTTTTCTGCCCAAACGGAGCGACGCTCGACCGTCTTTGGCGCCCGTCTGATGCGGCCCATCGGCGGTCTGGTGCATCTGGTGGCACTGCGCGCGTTTGTCGGGTGTTGTGGTGGAATATGCGGAAAGCCAGACGCAGTAAAATGCCGTTCTGCGGACTTGGCTGCCGTTCATCTTGGCACGGCGAAAGTCTGCTACAGGTTTTGCCGTGACACTGTCATTTCAGGCCAAGGTGTCACCCGTTCCGGCAATCAAGCGGCGTAACATCGAGGCGAACTGATCCACCTCTTCATCCTCCCACCGATCGCCGAAAAGATAGCCTGCCCGCTTCGAAAACGTTGAAAGCGCTTCAGATAGCTTTTTTCGCCCGGTATCCGTAGCTACCACGAACACCAGCCGTGCATCCCGCTCATCGAGCTCTCGATCAACGAGACCGATTTTTTCCATTGGCGCGGCCATTCGCGTGATGGTGGATGCGCTGACATGCATGCGTTTCGCCAAATCAACACGGGACAGTTTGTTCGCCGCTGAGCGCTCAAGATGAAGCATCAAAAGAAACTCGTTCACAGATATTCCGTGAACTGCTGAAAATTCGCCGCTTAGCCCGGCCCGGAAGTCGTCAGCGACCTGAAGCAGACGCAGCGCATTGGTTGTGTGTGAATCGGTCATATGACATATCTATTGCAAATCGCTTGCTTGTGCAAGCATATTGCAAGATATAGAGCGCAACTTTTCCACATGAAAGGCAACTCCCACCATGGACTTTGAAACCTCATTCTCAATCGCTGGGATTCTCGCAATGATCGGATGGTTATCTCTGTTGATCTCACCGCTCATTCCGAAATGGTCGGACTGGATCGCAGGGACGATCATGCCAATGATCCTGTCATTGGGCTACGTCATCCTGCTGATTATGCCGTCCTCGGGCAGTGGCGGTGGCTTCGGCTCGCTGGCCGATGTGATGGCGCTGTTCTCCTATGAGCAAGCCGCGCTTGCGGGTTGGGTTCACTTTCTCGCCTTTGATCTTGTCATCGGCGCATGGGTCTGTCGCACAGCTCGTGCGGAAGGCGTGAGCTTCTGGCTGGTTGCTCCCTGCCTGCCGGTGATCTTTCTATTTGGCCCTGCCGGGCTCCTCGCGTTTCAAGCCGTCCGCGCCGTTCGTATTCGAACAACGCAGGCGCAAGTATCTGTGTAAGCCGTCATTCGTACACAGCGCGGGATTGATCGGTTTGGGCTCAGAGCCCCCGCTCCCACACAACATAGCGCGTGGGGTGGCTGTCTCTTTCCCCCGCCGGCACATGTTCCTCGTGCGTCGCTTCCCAGACGCTCGGATCGATCTCCGGAAACCGTGTGTCGCCCGCGATCTCCGCCTCGACATGGGTAACGTGGAGCACATCGGCCAAAGCCATGGCCTGCGCGTAGATCTGGCCGCCGCCAGCGATGAAGATCGTATCCGGGGGCTCGGCGTCGGGATCGTCCGGGTCCGGCTCGAAGCTTTCCAGATGTGCTTTCGCCAGTTCCAGCGCCGCGCCGAGCGAGGAGACAGCCACCGTGCCGTCGGCGTGCCAGTCATGATCGCGTGTGACGACAATGTTCAGACGGCCCGGCAGCGGCTTGCCGACGCTGTCGAACGTCTTGCGGCCCATGATCACCGGATGGCCGAGCGTCAGCGCCTTGAAGCGCTTAAGGTCGGTCGACAGGTGCCAGGGCATCGCGCCGTCCCGGCCGATCACGCCGTTCTTCGACACCGCCACGATGACGGCGATGACAGGCGTATCCGCCGCCATCACCGGTTGGCAACGATGAACAGCACGTCGAGATCGCGCTCGGGCCAGAAATCGTCCTTGACCATCTCGAATGTGGTCGGCCCGGTCTTGCTGACGCCCGTCCCGCAGAACGAAACCAGATTGCCGGTCGAGCCCTTGTCGACGATCAACCGGAAGCGCTTGATCGGCCCGGCCCAGTTGGCGCCCGTCGTCAGCACATAGGAGAGCCAGGACTCGGTGTAGTAGGGCCCGGAGTCCGGATTGGCCGATTCGAGCCGCCGCTTGGCCCCGTTCACGAAGGGCGCATCGATGCAGTAGCGCTTTTCATAGTCCGCATAGAGCGCGCTGCCCGCGCCCTCCATCAGGAAGAAGACGCCGGCCGCGCCGCCGACCGCCGGCGTGTAGGTGTGGCGGACCTTCACCTCGGCATTGGCCGGGAAGGTCATGGTCCAATGGTAGGCCGATTCCACCGTCCAGCGCGGATAGGCCATGCCGGTCGGCGTGGTGCCGTCCGTGGCGACGGCCATTTCCACCGCGCCCGCCGCCTTCATGGCCGCAAGGTCCGCCGGCGCAACGCCGGACATGTCGATCTCATAGGCGTCGTATGGCGCAATGCGCAGTCCCGCCCCGGTCAGAAGGCCGGTAATGTCGACCCCGCCGGCGCTCACCGCCCGCTGCTGAAGTTCGGGCGTCACCGGCATACCATCCACCTCCACGGTGAAGCCCAGGAAATTGTCGTCTTCGACCGGGATCGAGTTGCCCTCATACGGATTGAACGCGATGTCGGGCATCGGGAAGGCGACGACCGTCTCGACATCGTCCAGCGAATTGTTGCGGAACAGATAGTCGACCCGCACCTGGTCCATCGAGAGGTACAGCGTCTCGCTTTCGATGGAAACGACGTCCGACCGGCCGAGCACCAGCCCGCCGGCGCCGATCTCGGCAACCGAATCGTTCGCCATCGCGCCGCCGGCCGAACCCGCCAGCAGCCCGAACGCCAGAAGATATCGCAACATCTGCATCACACCGCCACCTTTGCCTTGATATGCGGATGCGGATCGTAACCCGAGATGGCGAAATCCTCGAATGCGAAATCGAAAATGTCGCGCACGTCGCGGATGATCTCGAGACGGGGCAGAGGCCGCGGCTCGCGCGCAAGCTGGGTTTCGACCTGCTCGAAATGGTTGGCATAGATGTGCGCGTCGCCGAATGTGTGCACGAAATCGCCGACCTCGAGATCGCACACATGGGCGATCATGTGCGTCAAAAGCGCATAGGAGGCGATGTTGAACGGCACGCCGAGGAAGATGTCCGCCGAGCGCTGGTAGAGCTGGCAGGAGAGCCTGCCGTCGGCGACGTAGAACTGGAACAGGCAGTGGCAGGGCGGCAGCGCCATGTCATCGACCAGTGCCGGGTTCCAGGCCGAGACGATGTGCCGGCGCGAATCGGGATTGGTCCGGATGCCCTCGACCAGCTTTTCGATCTGGTCGATCGTTTTCCCGCCGCCCGCCGGCCAGGATCGCCACTGCGCGCCATAGACCGGGCCGAGATCGCCGTTCGCGTCGGCCCATTCGTCCCAGATCGAAACGCCGTTTTCCTTGAGCCAGGCGATGTTGGTGTCGCCGCGCAGGAACCACAGAAGCTCGATGACGATCGAGCGGATGTGCAGCTTCTTGGTGGTCACCAGCGGAAAGCCATCGGCGAGATCGAAACGCATCTGGTGGCCGAAGACCGACCGCGTGCCCGTGCCCGTCCGGTCGGCTCGGTCGGTGCCATTGTCCATCACCAGCCGCATCAGGTCGTGATATTGGCGCATGCGCCCTTATGGGCCGATTCCGGCGCAGGCGTCCATCCGCGCACCGCGCTTGCCCCAAGGAAAAGCCCCCGAACCGCGTGGCCGGGGGCTTTCGAAATTCGCGATGACGGGGCGACTAGAGGTCGCCGAGCTTGCCCAGATGTTTGGCAACCAGGTAATAGAAGGTCACGCGCGCCTTCGAGCGGTCGCCCTTCATCTGCTCGCACACCTTGGCGACCACCTCGTCGCCGGCAGCCTGATCGGTCACGCCCAGCTTCTTGGCGCACCATTTCTCGCGCACCCGCTCCAGTTCGGACGGATCGGAGCAGGAAACCAGCGATGCGTCACGCGAGCGCAATGCGATGCCCAGATGCTTGACGATCTTGGTGACGGTCGCCTCGTCGGCGCCCGCATCATATTTCTTCACATCGGCGAGATAGTCGGTCATGGGCATTCCCCCTCCAGTTAGCGCCGGCGCAAGGCATTCCGGACCAGAGCCCTGCACCGCTCTCGTGCACGACTGTTCTCAACGCCATAACCATTGTCAACCGGCAAACAGGCGTTCGGCCTTTGAATCGTCGCGGCTTTCATCCTATATTGGGCGTGCCGGTTCGCCGGCTATGGCAATAAACGGGCGGTACAATAAGCCATTCGGACCCGGGGGCGGTACCCGGCGCCTCCACCAGGAACGCTGCTGCAGCCGATCGCAGCGCTGCTGATGGGGGCGAAACAGGATCGACGAGGGTGTAAAAACCGTACTTTTGCCCGGCATGATACCACCGTTATCGGGTCAAATTGTTAGTTGCAAACGACAACTACGCAGAGGCACGTCTCGCTGCCTAATGGCGGTGCGACAGCTTCACCTGAACTCCTAGCCGGTTTGCTCGGCTAGGCGGGGTCCGGAGGCACCTGGCAACAGAAGCCTCCACTTCTCCCCCTGCCCGCATTCGCCCTTCACGCCCGATCCGATGCGGCTTCCGTCCGCCCGACAGCCATGCCGGCCACTTGACCTGCGCGCGGCGACAGCGCACATCTACGCCATCTTGGCAACGGTGGGAAAACCGGCTGATGAGCGAAGACATTATCCGATATGACATCCTGGTGCAGAACGCGCTTCGCGGCGTGATCCGCAAGGTGTTGTCGGAGGTGGAGAAAACCGGCCTGCCCGGCAACCACCATTTCTTCATCACCTTCGTGACGACCGCGCCCGGCGTGCGCATTTCCAACCGCATCCGCGAGCAATATCCCGAGCAGATGACGATCGTGCTGCAGCACCAGTTCTGGGATCTTGAGATCGGCGAAACCGGCTTCGGCATCGGCCTGTCCTTCTCCGACGTGCCCGAAAAGCTCTATGTGCCCTATGCGGCGGTGCGCGGCTTCTACGATCCTTCGGTCAATTTCGAGCTGGAGTTCGACGTCGCCGACGGCGACGCGGACGCGGTCGACGAAGGGGCCGCCAATGCCGACGATCCGTCCGGCGCGAGCCCGATGCCGGCCGAATCGGAAACCGTCAAGGAAGGTCCCGCCGCCAAAGGCGAGGACGAAGACGGGACCGCCGACGTCGTCTCGCTCGACGCGTTCCGCAAGAAGAAATAGCGCCGCTGAAATGGCCGTCCGCAAGCGCTCGGTCTCCATTTCCGGTCACCGCACCAGCTATTCCGTCGAGGACCCGTTCCAGGACGCGCTGCAGGCGCTGGCGGAAGATGAAGGCCTGTCGCTCGCCAGGCTGATCGCCCGCATCGATGCGCAAAAGCCGACCGATTCCAACCTGTCCTCTGCGCTGCGGCTATTCGTGCTGGATGCGGCGATTGCCGGCCGGCTTACTGGCCCAATCCCTCGATCAGCGAACGAACCGCGTCCTCGCTGAAGTCGATGCCGGGCGCGGGTGCGGCCGGCTCCCCGGAAACGGGCGGCAGCGGCGCGCGCACCACGCCGTCGCCGTCTATGGTCCCGGGCGCCGGCATGGCGGTATCGGCAGGCTGGACGGTCTCTTCGGGCGCGCTTTCGGCCGTCGGCGTTTCAGGCGGCTCGGCGAGAAGCGGCGCGGGCGGCGGCGCCGGCGCATTGATCCGCTCGATTGCCGCAGCTTCCGCTTCGGCGGCCCGCCGCGCCTCGATCGCCGCAAGACGCTCGTCGGCGATGGCGCGCAGCCGGCTCTCCTCGCGCATTGCATTGTCCTCGGCGCGCAGATAGCGCGCATATCGCAATTCGCGCCGCATGCGCTGGCGCTCAAGAAGGCGTGCCTGCAGCCGCTCGATTCGCGCCTGTTCGATTTCGAGCGCGCGCTGCGTCAGATAGGCGGTCACCGGCTGATAGCCGATCTCGGCGGCAAGCGTGTCCGCTTCGCCCGGGCCGAACGACAGATCGACCGCCGGCGCCATGCCGGCGATCGCCTCGGCGCCCGGATCGAGCGTCACGGTCAGCGCGCCGGCCGGCGCCCGTTCGATGAGATCGAGTGTCACATCGCCGGTCAGCCGCAGCCTGCCGTCTTGGTCGCCGATAGAGAGATTGGCGGCGCGCGCCACACCGCCGGTGACCGTCAGCGGGGCTTCGGCCGCGCCCAGCCCGGTCTGCCCTGCAAACAGCGCCTCGCGCACGACCGCTTCGATCTGCGCCGGCGTGATGCCGAATCCGATCGCGTCGGCGCGTGCAACGATCGCCGAAAACGCGTCGGGGTCGAGCCCCTCCACCATGATATTGTCCACGGCGACGACGCCCGTCCCGGTCAGCGATCGCCCTAGATCCCAGAACGTGCGGCCGCCACCGGTCAGCGACAGCGCCAGATCGGCCGTACCGGTAACCGGCACAGGCACCGCCACCAGATCGCCGAGCGCAAACGCCGCAAGCTCCACCTCCCCGCCGAGGCTCACCGCGCCGCCGGCATTCTGCACACGCATCGTCGCTGCGAACTGGCTGTCCTTGCCTGAAAGCGCGGTCATGTCCTGCACCGTGGCCATCCCGCCGTTCATCACCAGCGTGCCGTCGGCCTGCTCGAGCGTCAGGGGGCCGGCGAACAGCCGGTCCGCCGACCAGTCCAGATTGACCGCGACGCCGTCATAGATCGGCGCGCCGAAGCCCGTATCGGCCCCGATCGCATCGACGTGACCGGTCAGAAGCCCGGCAAGCAGCATCGCATCGAATGCGCCCAGATCGAGCCGTCCGCGCAGCGACCGGCCAAGCAGCGCGTCGTCCAAAAAGGTCAGTGCGCCGGCCATCCCGGTGCCCGCGACGGCGCCTTCCAGTTCATCGAATTGCCATTGCGTACCGGCCCGGCCGATGGTGGCGGAAAGATCGAGCGGCGTGCCAAGCCCGGTGCCCGGCAGCACATGGCCAAGCGCCGACAGCCACGGTTCGGCATCGGACAGCGCGAGCACCGCATCGCCGGCGAAATCGGCGCCGTCGCGCGTGCCGTTAAAGTCCAGCCGGTCGGCGCCGGAGGTCGCGGTCAGCGACACCAGATCGTCGCCTCCCCCGGCGCGCCGAAGGGTGATCGCCACCTGCCCCGGCGCATCGATGCCGACGGTTGCGCCATCGGCCACGGCAGGCGCGATGCCCGCCAATGGCAGAAGGCGCAGCGCGTCGTCATGGGCCACCGAACCGTCGACGGCCAGCCGGTCGATCCCTTCGGTCGCGCCGGTGTCGGCCAGATTGGCCTGGACGAACAGATTTGCGCCGCCCAACGTGCCTGAAAGGCTTGCCGATGCCTCGGTTCGGGCGCCGCCGTCGGCGGTGCGGGCCGAGCCGACCAGCGTCAGCTGCATGTCGGCAACCGCCGCCGGATCGCGTTCGGCGACGCCGGCCAGATGATCGAGCAGGTCGTGGCCGGTGAACCGGCCGGCAATGCCGGTGAAGAACGGCGCGCCGCGCGCGCCGATCACGCTGACATCGAAAGCCGCCGCCAGATCGCCTGCGCCCAACCGCTCGACGGAACCGGCCCCCGTCACCGACGCGCCGAAGACGCCGGTCGCGACCAGCCGGTCGATCTCCGTGCGGAGGCCGCGCGTGCGGATCGCGGTGTCGAGATGGTCGAGCACGATCCCGCCGGCATCGACGTCGCGCAGGTCGAGCAACAGGTCGACATCGTGCCCGGCAAGACCGCCCCCGCCCTGCCCCGCGCCGAACACGCTCGCCATCGCATCGAGCGTCGGCCGGCCGATCGTCTCGCCAGCCAAGGTGACCGACAGATAGGGCGTCGACAGCGCGCCGCCGCGCCGTGCGATGCGTCCCGTCAGCTGCGTGCCGCCGATGATCAACTCGACATTTTCGGCAAGCTGGCGCTCGGCGCCCAGCGTCACCCGAGCGCTCAACCCCGCGCCCGGCAATTGCCGGATCGCCTCGTCCACATCGCCTGCCAGCCAGCGCGCAAGGCCGGAAGGCTGGCGTGAGGCAACCACCAGATTGCCGGCGAACGATGCTGTCTCCATCGTCTCGCCCGGGCGCGGCAGCGTCAAAACGCCGTCGGCTTCCAGCGCGGTGCGGCCCGGAAACTGGGCGTCGAGCCGGTCGATTCGCCAGCGCCGCCGGTCCGCATCGCGCGGCTCGGGCCGGGCAAGCACCTGAACGTCGCGAATTGTCGTTTCGCCGGCAACGATCGCCGGCAGGTCGAGATTGATCGTGCCGGGCACTGCGGGCAGCGGCAGGCCGGCCAACATCGCGTTGATCGCCGCCATCCGCTCGGCGAGCCCAGCCGCATCGCCTTCCGCGGCTTCCGCACCGGTGGGCACGTTGACCTGGGTGCCGCGCGCGGTCAGCGTGTAGCCCGGCTCGGCGCCGCCGAACACCGATGCGGTACCGCTTATCACATAGGGGTCGGCCGGATCGCCGAACGCTGCGCGATATTCGGCGACATCGAGCCGCCGCGCCGTGGCGGCGAAATCGCCGTCGACGCGATAGGTCTGGTCGATGCCGTGGGGCAGCAGCGTCAGCCCGCCCGCATAGACCATCTCGCCGCTGTCGGCGTCCGGTGCGATGCGCCCCTCGGTGACGATGCGCACTAGCTGGTCTGGCAGGTTGGCGGCAACCCGCAGCGAAAACCCGTCGCGTTCGAGCGTCCCGGTTCCGATGGTGAATTGCGTGTTCAGCGTATCGATGCGCGCGGTACCCTCGGCGCGCCAGGGCCCGAAAAAGCTGTTGGCCGAGACCGCCATGTCGATGCCCGAGACGGTCCAGCGCCGCTCGTCGAACGGGTCGAGCACGACCAGCCGGCCATTGCTGATCGCCGCGTTTTCAAGCGTGATCTGCGCCGGATCGATCGGGCCTGTCTCGGGCAATGGCCAGATCGGCGCGCCGGTCTCGTCCAGCGTCACATTCATCACCGGGTCGGTGATGCGCAGATCGAAGATCAGCACTTCGCCGGACAGAAACGGCGCCAGTTCCGCATCGAAGGAGAATTCGGCGGCGGTGATCAGTGGCGCCTCGGGCGGGCCGACCTCGACATCGGAAAAGCTGACCGAGGGAAAGGGCAGGATGCGCGCGCTCGCCTCGCCGGCCACGCGCACCGGCTGGCCCAGCAGCCGTGACGCCTCTGCCTCGAAGCGCCCCTTATAGTCGGACCAGTTGACGAACAGCGGCGCCAGAAGCGCGGCGAACAGCACCGCGACGATCAGCCCTCCGATCACAACGAAAAGGCGCAAAGTGCCGTTTCTCCTGCGCTTTCAAGCCAGCGTGCCCCGGGGTCAGGGCGGCATGCGCCTGTTGTCGGGCCTCAAAGCGACAAGATCAAGACGCAGGGCGCGCCGTCACAGACGCAATATCTTGCCGGGGTTCATGATGTTGTCTGGATCGAGCGTCCGCTTGATCGACCGCATCACGTCGACCGCGCCGCCCATCTCCATCTCGAGGAAAGCCATCTTGCCCTGGCCGATCCCATGCTCGCCCGTGCAGGTGCCGCCCATGGCCAGCGCCCGCAGGTTGAGCCGCTCGACGAAACTTTCCGCGGCGGCGATCTCCTCCCGGCTGGTATCGTCGATCAGCAGCAGCACATGGAAATTGCCGTCGCCCGCATGGCCGACGATGGGCGCCACCAGATCGTGCTCGGCAATGTCGGTCTCGGTATCCACGATGCAGTCGGCAAGCTGCGAGATCGGCACGCACACATCGGTGGAAATGCCCTTGGCACCCGGTCTCAGCGTCAGCGCCGCCCAATAGGCATCGTGGCGCGCCTGCCACAGCCTGGAGCGGTCCTCCTCGTGCGCCGACCAGATGAACGGTCCGCCGCCCAGATCGCCGGCGATCTCGCCGAAGGTTTCGGACTGTTCGGCAACGCCCCGTTCGGTGCCGTGGAACTCCAGAAACAGGCAGGGACCGACCGGCAGATCGAGCGAGGCATAGTCGATGATCGCCTGCATCTGCAGCGTGTTGGCCAGTTCGATGCGCGCCACGGGCAGGCCCATCTGGATGGTCGTGATCACCGCCTGGACCGCCGCCTCCAGCGTCGGAAACGGGCAGACGCCGCCGGTGATCGCCTCGGGCTGTCCGGCGAGCCGCAACGTCAGTTGCGTGATGATGCCGAGCGTGCCTTCCGAGCCGATCATCAGCCGCGTCAGGTCGTAGCCGGCCGAACTCTTGCGCGCCCGCTTCGCGGTGGTGATCTTGCGGCCACTGGGCAACACGACATCCAGCGAGATCACATTGTCGCGCATCGTGCCATAGCGCACCGCATTGGTGCCCGAGGCGCGCGTCGCCGCCATGCCGCCAAGGCTGGCGTCGGCACCCGGATCGATCGGGAAGAACAGGCCGGTGTCGCGCAGATGGGTGTTGAGCTGCTTGCGCGTGACGCCCGGTTCGACCACGCAGTCGAGATCCTCGGCATGCACTTCGATGATGCGGTTCATCTGGCTGACATCGATCGAAATGCCGCCGCCGGGCGCGTTTACCTGGCCTTCGAGCGATGTGCCCGTACCGAACGGAATGATCGGCACCCGGTGTGCCGCGCACACTTCGACCGCCGCCTGCACATCGTCGGCCGATTGCGCGAACAGGACGCCGTCGGGCATCTGCGCGGGAATGTAGGTCGTCGTGTGCGCATGCTGGCCGCGCAGCGCCGTGCCGGTCTGGAACCGCTCGCCGAAGCGCTGCTTGAGGATGCCCAGCACCAGCGCGATGCCGTCATCGTTGCGCGCCACCCGCGCCAGATCCTTCAACGCCATGTCCGTGCTCCCAGAACGTCCGTGCGTCAGGTGACAGCTTGGCCATGGCCTTGTCAAACCGGTCGCCGTCGGCGTGACGCCGCAGCGTGGCGGCAACCAGCGCGATCGAACCATGCGGCGCGAAATTGTGGTCGGCACGCAGCGCGCGCACCTCCGCCTCCAGCGCATCGCGCGCCGGAAAGCCGGCGCTGTGTTCGCTTGCCGTCCAGCCGGCAACGAAGATCGCCCGCAAAACGGCTGGCAACGCGTCGGCGAAGACGAGCACCTCGTCGGGCCCGAGACGACGGCGAAATGCGAGCAGAACCGCCTGGACGACGGTGTAGGTCTGGTTGCGCGTCGCAAGGCCGAGCGCATCGCCCGAATCGGCCAGGAACGCATCGAAGCGCTGCGTGGCGAGCTGGTATTCCTGCGGCATGGGCATCGTCGGGCAACGGGCTCGTGTTAACGGTCTGCATCAAATTTGGGCAGATCACCTTGCCGCGATGCGCTGAGAGCGTAATGTGGGAGCCGGTCGCAAACAAGCGGCCCGAGTCGCAGGAGGCGGCCGGAAGTCGCGGTGGGCAACGCAGACAGTCACACAACGCAGTTCATCAGTCCGGTAGCGGGTATCGAGCCCGGCTGGATCGACTATAACGGCCATCTGAACATGGCCTACTATCTGGTCCTGTTCGACAGAGGCTATGACGTCGTCGCCGACCATCTTGGCATGGGCGCCGAATATGCGCGAACCCGCCGGATGACCACCTATACGGGCGATGCGCGGATCGCCTATCTCAACGAGGTGCACCGGGACGCCGATCTGGTCACCACCTACCAGATCCTCGATCACGACGAAAAGCGCATCCATGCGTTCCAGGAACTGCGCCATGCCGGCGACGGCAAGGTTGCCGCCACCTGCGAAACGCTGACGCTGCATATCGACATGGGAGGGCCGAAAGTCTGCCCCTTTCCGGCCGACGTGATGGAACGCGTTGCAGCGCTGGCGGCCAGCCATGCCGGCTTGCCGGTCCCCGACGGCGTCGGCCGGCCGATCGGCATAAGGCGCCGGCCGAAGGTGGCGCCATGACGCCCGTCGAGCGCCTGCGCTTCTGGGCCGATGTGATGTGGCGCTGGGTGCGGCCGAACCTGCGCACCTTCCGGGAAACCCGCACGCCGAAACTGTGGCTCTTGTCGCTGGTCATCGGCGCGGCCGTGGCGGTCGCCGCCGTCATGTTCCGCGAGGCGATCGGTCTTGTGCAATATTGGTGGCTGCGCAACACAACCGAACAGACGCTCACGGCGGCGCAGAATGTCGGCTGGTACTGGGTGCTGGCCGCGCCCATCGTCGGCGGTCTGGTGGTCGGCCGGTTGCTGGAGCGGGTTTCGGCGCGCCGCGCCGGCAATGTCGCCGACGTGATCGAGGCGCGCGCGCTGACAGGCAGGCCGCTCGGCCTGCGCGACGGGCTCTGGTCCGCGGCGATTTCGGCGATCTCGCTGGGTTCGGGCGCCAGCGCCGGCCGCGAAGGACCCGTCATCCATCTGGGCGCGACGCTCGCCTCGGTCATCGCATCTCGCCGCAAACTGCCCGAATGGTGCGCGCGCACGCTTCTGGCCTCGGGCGTCGCAGCGGCGATCTCCGCCTCGTTCAACGCCCCGATTGCCGGCGTCCTGTTCGCCCATGAGGTGATCCTGCAGCACTATTCGATGCGGTCCTTCGTGCCGATCGTCATCGCCTCGGCCGTCGGCTCGGTGATCTCGCGCATCTGGTTCGGCGAGGCGAGCGCCTTCATCATCCCGGACTACCAGATCACCTCCTATTGGGAGTTTCCCGCCTTCGCGCTTCTGGGCGTCGTCGCCGCGCTCGTTGCGATCGCATTCCAGTTCGCGCTGTTTTCGGCCGACTATGTCGCCCGCTCCGTCACCATTCCCCTGCGCTACAAGCCGGTTGTCGGCGGCGCGATCATCGGCGTCATGGGCATCTTCTTTCCGCACATTCTGGGCGTCGGCTACGAAGTCACCGACAAGGTGCTGTGGAACCAGCTGCCGCTGTCGCTGCTGATCATGCTGATCGTCATGAAGACGGCGGCGACCGCGATCACGCTGGCGGCGCGGTTTGGCGGCGGCATCTTCTCGCCGGCCATCTATCTGGGCGCGCTGACCGGCGGCGCCTTCGGGCTGATCGCCGGCTCGGCCTTCCCGGACATGGCTTCGTCCGAGGGGCTTTACGCGATCCTGGGCATGGGCGCGGTGGCCGGCGCGGTGCTGGGCGCGCCGATCTCGACGACGGTGATCGTCTTCGAGCTGACCGGCGGCTACGCGCTTTCGATCGCGCTCCTGCTGACGGTGGCCATTGCGCACGGCGTCAACCAGGCGGTGCACGGCCATTCCTATTTCCACTGGCAGCTCGAAATGCGCGGCCTGTTCGACCATCAGGGGCCGCACCGGCAATTGATGCGCACGAAGAAAGTCATGGATTTCATGGATGTCGTCGCCGGGGACGCCGGACGCGAAACCATCGATCCCGACAAGGACACGCCGGCGCTCAAGCCCGGAGACACGCTCGAACATGCGCTGCGCCAGTTCGATTCCGGCGGCCATGCGCGCCTGCCGGTGGTCGATCCGCGCGATCCGACGACGATCATCGCCTGGGCGACCCAGGTGCGCGCGCTCAGCTATTTCAACAAGGCGCTGATCAAGGCCAGCGAGGAAGAGCACCGGTAGGGCTGTACGCATCCCTGGCCCTGCGAGGCTCGCCAACCATCACCCTCATCCTGAGGTGCGAGCGCAGCGAGCCTCGAAGGACGGGGGTGATGGTCGCTCGCACCTCAGGATGAGGGATGCACGCGGCACGCCCCACGCTTCCTTTCGCCCCCCAAATCCCTACATTGCGAATCAATGAGCAATCCGTTCGACGACATTCCCTTCGACGACGCCCACGGCGCGGCGCCCGCGCCAAAACCGGCAGGCGGCGGCTCGGGCATCGCCGCGCGCGCCATGGGCGCCCGGCAGCAGCCGGACTATCTGACAGGCCTGAACCCCGAGCAGCGCCGCGCCGTCGAAACCACCGAAGGCCCTGTTCTGGTGCTTGCCGGCGCGGGCACCGGCAAGACGCGGGTCCTGACCACACGCATCGCCCATATTCTCGCCCAGGGGCTCGCCTGGCCAAGCCAGGTGCTGGCCGTCACCTTCACCAACAAGGCCGCCCGCGAGATGAAGGCACGCATCGGCCTTCTGGTCGGCGGTGCGGTCGAGGGCATGCCGTGGCTCGGCACGTTCCATTCGATCGGCGTGAAGATGCTGCGCCGCCATGCCGAGATGGCCGGCCTGAAGTCCGATTTCACCATCCTCGACACGGACGACCAGATCCGGCTCTTGAAGCAGCTCATCCAGGCCGAGGGGCTGGACGACAAGCGCTGGCCGGCGCGCCAGTTCGCGATGATGATCGACGGCTGGAAGAACAAGGGTTTCGGCCCCGCCGACATTCCCGAGGGCGACGCGCGCGCTTTCGCCAACGGCAAGGGCCGGGAACTCTACACCGCCTACCAGAACCGCCTGAAGACACTGAACGCCTGCGATTTCGGCGACCTTCTGTGCCATCCGATCCGCGTCCTGAAGGCCAATCCCGACGTGCTCGCCGAGTATCAGCAAAAGTTCCGCTACATCCTCGTCGACGAGTATCAGGACACCAACACCGCGCAATATCTGTGGCTGCGGCTTCTGGCGCAGCGGCGGGTGAGCGCCCCCACCTCCCCCTTGAGGGGAGGTCGGAGAAGCGAGCAAAGCGAAGCTGATCCGGGTGGGGGTGACATCGGTGCCGATACCCCCACCCGGCTCGACACTGTCTCGCCGACCTCCCCTCAAGGGGGAGGTGGAAACGCTGCACCGCCGAATATTTGCTGCGTCGGCGATGACGACCAGTCGATCTATGGCTGGCGCGGGGCCGACGTCGACAACATTCTGCGCTTCGAAAAGGATTTTCCGGGCGCCACCGTCGTCAAGCTGGAACGCAACTACCGCTCGACCGCTCATATCCTCGGCGCCGCCTCCCACCTGATCGGCCACAATGAAGGCCGGCTCGGCAAGACCCTGTTCACCGACGCAGCCGACCCGGACGACCCCAAGGTCAATGTGCATGCCGCCTGGGACTCCGAGGAGGAAGCGCGCGCCGTCGGCGAGACGATCGAGCGCCACCAGCGCGACGGCAACAATCTCAACGACATGGCGATCCTCGTGCGCGCCTCCTTCCAGATGCGCGAATTCGAGGACCGCTTCGTCACGCTGGGGCTCAACTATCGCGTCATTGGGGGCCCGCGCTTTTACGAGCGCATGGAGGTGCGCGACGCGATGGCCTATTTCCGCGTCGTCTGCCAGCCTGCCGACGATCTGGCCTTCGAGCGCATCGTCAACACGCCCAAGCGGGGCCTCGGCGATGCCTCGGTGCGTCTCGTGCACGATTACGCGCGCAGGAAGGGCATGCCCATGCTGGCCGCCGCCGCCGAGATCGTCGCCACCGAGGAAATGAAGCCCAAGCCGCGCGCCGCCCTGCGCGGCGTCGTCGAGAACTTTGCCCGCTGGCAGGAACGGCTCGACAACACGCCGCACGCCGAACTGGCCGAGACGATCCTCGAGGAAAGCGGCTACACGGCCATGTGGCAGGCCGACCGGTCGGCCGAGGCGCCGGGGCGGCTGGAAAACCTGAAAGAACTCATCCGCTCGATGGAAGAGTTCGAATCCATGCGCGCCTTCCTCGAACATGTCTCGCTCGTCATGGATGCCGAGCAGAACGAGGACATGGATGCGGTCTCGATCATGACGCTGCATGCGGCCAAGGGGCTCGAATTCGACACGGTGTTCCTGCCCGGCTGGGAGGAAGGCCTGTTTCCGCATCAGCGCGCGCTCGACGAGGGCGGCCGGTCGGGCCTCGAGGAAGAACGGCGCCTCGCCTATGTCGGGCTCACCCGCGCCAAGCGCAACTGCCACATCTGGTTCGTCTCCAACCGGCGCATTCACGGCCTGTGGCAGTCGACCATTCCCTCGCGCTTTCTCGACGAACTGCCGACGGACCATGTGGACGTTGCCGAACCGCCCACCTCCTATGGCGGTCATGGCGGCTACGGCCAGTCGCGCTTTGACCGCGCCGATACGTTCTCGACCAGGCGCGAATCGCCCGGCTGGCGCCGCGCCCAGGCCAACCAGACCGAGGCGACGCGCGGCAATTGGGGCTCGCGCTCGGGCATCGCCGTGGAGCGCATCGGCTATGGCGAGACGGATTCAGGCTTCGGCGCCGGCAAGGGTTCGGTCAAGGGCCGGGTGATCGAGGGCGAGCTGATCGCCAAATCCGTCGCCGACGAGCCCTCCGCCTTTGCCGTTGGCGACCGGGTGTTCCACCTCAAGTTCGGCAATGGCAACATCACCGCCATCGAGGGCAACAAGCTGACCATCGCCTTCGACAAGGCCGGCGAGAAGAAGGTGCTGGACGGGTTCGTGGAGATGGTGTGAGGGTCACTCGCTGTCACTGTGAAACTGTGATACTGTGTCGACATGAAGAATGTGACCATATCGCTGGACGATGATCTCTACCGCCGCGCCCGCATCCTTGCCGCCGAGGAGGACACGACGGTGACCGCTATGGTGCGCGCCTATCTGGAGGAGAAAACGCGGCAGAAGGATGAGTTCGAGCGGTTGTTGAAGTTGCAGGAAGACCTGCTGGCCACCGAGACAGGCCTCGACCCCGCCGAAAACCTCAGCCGCGACGAAATCTATAGCGAAAAGGGTGATGCCCGCTTTCGTTGACACCAATGTGCTGATCTACGCCATTGTCGGCGAGGAACATGAGCGGGCAAAAAGGCATATCGCCAGAGACATGCTTCGCCGTGACGATCTCGTGTTGTCCTACCAGGTCCTGACCGAGTTCTGTCACCAGGCGACGCGCCGAAACCGGTCAGGGGCGCTGACACCGGAAAGAGCGTCGCAATATGTACGGGCGTTTTCGCGCTTCCACATTGTGCCGGGAACGACAGACCTCGTGCTCACCGGCCTCGAACTGCGCCGCACCACCAACTATTCCATGTGGGACTGCATGATCATCGCTGCGGCGAAAGCCGGCGGCTGCGACACGCTGCTGAGCGAAGACATGGATCACAAACGTAACGTCGCTGGCGTCACTGTCGTCAACCCGTTTGCGTGACGCCCGGCGGCACCTCCGGCGCCAGCACCTCCAGGGCCCCCGGATCGATCCGGATATCGACCGGGCTGCGCATTTTCACCAGTTCGCCATCGATTGCGGCACGGATCGTCCCGCGCCGGGTCAGCCTCAGCGCCGTCGCCGTCGTTTCCGAAACGAACGGCAGCTCCTGCCAGCTGCCCGTCTGGATCGCCGCGGCCAGCCTTGCAACATGCGCCGAACCGCGTGACCGGATGGCGTAAACGCCAAGCACGCCCTCATCGAGCCGGTCGGCGAACGGCAGATGCCCCGGCCCGAGCCGGTTGTTGGAGACAAACAAGGCGGCCATCGCGACCGGCCGCTCCACACCGTCCTGGTCGAGCCAGAGCCGCACGCGCGGCGGCCTTGCGATCAGGCGCAGCGCGGCACGCGCCGTACCCACCAGCTTGCCCAGCCGGGAGCCGTACTTCACCCGGTCGCGGTCGGCGATCAGCTCTGGATGAAGACCCAGCGAGAATTCGTGGATGAACGGCCGGTCGTTGGCATATGCGATGTCGACTTTGCGCACATCGCAGCCCGACAGCGCTTCGGCGGCGGCAAACGGATCGACCGGCAGGCCCAGCGAACGGGCAAACAAGTTCATGTTGCCGCCCGGCACCACCGCCAGCGCCTTGCCGTGGCGGACGGCAAGCCCCGCCGCGAGCGATACCGTGCCGTCGCCGCCGGCCGCCAGCAGCCCGTCGGTCGTGCGGTCGGCGGCTGCCTCGCGCAACGCCTTGGCGGCATCCTTGTCCGGATCGCTGAAATCGATCCGGTGGCCCTGCGCCGCCAGCGCCTCGGCGATCCGCGCCTTCAGGGCGTCGATCTCCACGGACTTGAGCGTCGACGCGCCCGGATTGATCACGCCGGCGAAGGACAAGTCCCTCATCGCTGCGTCTACTCCGGCGCGCCGTTGGCCCAGGTCACGTCCTGACCGTAGAGCGGAACGGTCGACAGGCTCATCTTGGCCGAGCCTTCCTGCACCTGGCGTGAATGGGACAGGTAGATCAGCGTTTCGTTCTGCGCGTCATAGATGCGCTTGACGACGAGCTGCTTCCAGATGATCGAGCGGCCCTCGCGGAAAACCTCCTCGCCATCCTCGTCCAGCGCGATGTCGCCGATGGTGATCGGGCCGGTCTGCCGGCAGGCGATCGACGAGTTGGACGGGTCCTCGAACCAGTTGCCCTGCTGCAGCCGGTCGATCAGGCCGCGCTCGAAATAGGAGATGTGGCAGGTCACGCCCTGAACATCGGGATCGTTGATCGCGTCGATGATGATGTCGTTGCCGAACCAGTCGACGCCCACCTCGCCGACCTGTTCGGCGGCGGCCGGCGCCATGGAGGCGACCGCCGCTGCAAGAACGGCCCCGCATGACAGGGCAACAATCTGCGGACGAAAGAACATGGCAAACCTCTTTGTCATCTGTGGCAAACGCCACGGTCAGATGGAGGGTTCCCCGCGCCGGTTCAATGCCCGCTTTCTATTGCACCGCCTTCTTGTAGATGTGCCATGTGGCGTGGCCGAGCACCGGCAGAGCCACCAGAAGCCCCAGGAACACCGGAATCATCGCGGCGATCACCATCAGCGTGACGATGACGCCCCAGCCCAGCATGACCATGGGGCTTGCCGCCACTGTCTTCACCGAAGTGATCATCGCTGTGACGAAATCGACGTTGCGGTCGAGCAGCATCGGGATCGACACCACCGTCACCGAAAACAGCACCAGCGCCAGCACGGCGCCGACCACATGGCCGATGGCGAGAAACAGCCAGCCCTCAGGCGTCGTGAAGACGACATCGGTGAACCGCTCGAGCGTCGAAAACGACATGCGTCCCAGGATCAGCGCGATCAGCAGCCGCACCTGGTACATCCAGATCCAGAAGATGAACAGGACGACGAACGCCATGAACGCCAGTTCGCGCTTGGACTGAAAGCGGATGACCGACAGGATTTCGTTCCAGGCCAGAGGCTCGCCCGCAGAAAGGCGCCGGCTGACTTCATAGAGCCCGACGGCGGCAAACGGCGCGATCAGCGGAAAGCCGATCGCCACCGGATAGATCATCCAGGGCATGTCCCAGACGAACAGCGACTGGGCGATCAGAAGGCCGCCGATGACGTAGACGCCGGAAAAGAAAAAGCCGAACAGAGGCGCTTTCAGAAAATCGGCATAACCGGCATTGAAGGCTTCGCGAATGTCCTTGGCGGTCAACGTGTTGACGGCCGGCATCGTGCCGGCAACGCCGTTGCCATTGTCCGTTTTCGTGGTCGACATGGCGTCCTCCCTGCCAGTCTGTGGATCGTAGGTCTCCCAACCGACCGACCCGGGTCCGATCATGCCCGCCCTCGCCTGCCGAAATCAAGCATAACCGGCGCCCGCCGCCGATTTGCGCGCAATCCCCGCCGCCCGCGCTGGCCATTCCGGTCTCGTCTTGCTAGTCTGGAGCGATGGACGCAACCGCCCCCAGCCGGCCCAGGACCGCCCTTTTCGCCCCGGTCGCCATCACCGCCGCCATCCTCGCGGCGGGGCTTTCGGGTGTTTACGCGGTTTCGGACCGGGGCGCGGCGCTTTTCGTCGCGCTGATCGAAACCGGAATGGCGTGGTGCTTCTGACGCCCCACGGTCGGAATTGACGCCGCCGCCTGCGCGCAAATGCGCAGGTGAAATCGGGGCGCCGCGTGCGTAAAAGGACGGCATCCATCCCCGAACATGGACCCGTCCGATGCGTTATCTGTTCGCCGCCCTTGTCGTTGCCCTTGGCATCGCGCTGTTTGCGCTGACCTTCTCGATCGTCAACCAGCGCGAACCCGATGCCGCCTATGGCGTGCCGTTCGCGCTCGTGGACCAGGACGGCGCGCCGATCACCGAGGCCGCCTTCAGGGGTCAGCCGACCGCGCTCTTTTTCGGCTTCACCCACTGTCCGGAAATCTGCCCGACCACGCTTTACGAACTGGACGGCTGGTTCGCGCAGCTGGGCGAGGAGGGCGCCGACATCGACGCCTATTTCGTCACCATCGACCCCGAGCGCGACACGCCCGAACTGCTGGGCGACTATGTGGCCTCGGTCACCGACCGGGTGCGCGGCATCAGCGGCGATCCCGATGCGGTGCGCGAGATGGCGCGCGGCTTCGGCGTCTATTTCAAGCGCGTCGAACTGGACGATGGCGACTATACGATGGACCACACCGCCTCGATCTTCCTGCTCGATTCGGCTGGCGCCTTCCGCAAGACGATCGCCTATGGCGAAAACCCCGATACGGCAGTCGAAAAGCTGCGCGACCTTGCCGGAACCTGAGCTTTGTGCAGGCTCCAGGGAACCGACAGGCCTCTGGGCGGTTGACGTTGGCGCACAAGCTGCCATGTGATTGGCTGGCGCCACGCTGCGCGGAAGGGACATCCGCTTGGAACTGATCGCGATGAAGATCGCCGCCATCGGCGCGGCAGGCATTGCCGCCCAGTGGCTGGCTTGGCGGCTGCAACTGCCGGCCATCGTGCTGCTTCTGGCCGCCGGATTTGCCATGGGGCCGGCCACCGGTCTCATCGATCCGGTCCGCGACTTCGGCGAAATCTACAAGCCCGCGGTCGGGCTCGCCGTCGCGATCATCCTGTTCGAGGGCGGGTTGACGCTCAACTTCCGCGAGATCAGGGAAACCTCCCAGACCGTCCGTCGTGTGATCTTCCCCGGCGGGCTGTTCGTCTGGATCGGCGCGGCGCTGGCCGCCCACTATGCCGGCGGGCTGAGCTGGCCGGCCGCCATCATCCTGGGCGCGGTGCTGGTCGTCACCGGCCCAACCGTCATCATGCCGCTCCTGCGCTCGGCCAAGCTGAAATCCCGTCCGGGCGCGATCCTGCGCTGGGAAGCGATCATCAACGACCCGATCGGCGCGCTCTACGCCGTCGTCGCCTTCGAAGTGTTCCTGGTCTGGCAGGGCGCCACCAGCGCCGCGCAGATCGCCGTCGACATCGCGGTGGCCTTCGCCTTTGCCATCATCGCCGGATACGGGCTCGGGCGGGCGCTGGCCTGGGCATTCGGACGCGGCCATGTGCCCGACTACCTCAAGGCGCCGGTGCTGTTTGCCACCGTCATCGCCCTTTTTGCCCTGTCCAACCTGCTGCTGGAGGAATCCGGACTGCTGACGGTCACCATCATGGGCATCACGCTGGCCAACTCCAGGATTGCATCCCTTACCGAAGTGCGCCGCTTCAAGGAAACCGTGACGATCCTGCTGGTCTCGGGCCTGTTCATTCTCCTGACCGCAGCGCTCGACTGGCCGACGATCCGGAGCCTCGACTGGGGCGCGGCGGCCTTCGTCGCCCTGCTTCTGTTCGTCGTGCGCCCGCTGGCCGTCTTCATCGCCACCATCGGCAGTCCGCTGAGCTGGCAGGAACGCCTGCTGGTCGGCTGGATCGCGCCGCGCGGCATCGTCGCCGTTGCCGTGATCGGCCTGTTCGGCACCTCGCTCGTCAATCTGGGGATCGAGGACGGCACCAAGATGATCGCCTTCACCTTCGCGGTCGTCGTCGCCTCGATCATCCTGCACGGCTTCTCGCTCGGCCCCCTCGCCCGCCGGCTCGGTCTGCGCTCGACCGAGGAGCCCGGCCTTTTGATCGTCGGCGGCTCGCGCTGGACGACCGCGCTTGCCGGCAAGCTGCACGAGATGGACGTGCCGGTCCGGATCTCCGATCCCAACTGGAACCATCTGAGCGAAGCCCGCTTTGCCTCGATCCCCGTCCATTACGGCGAGATCCTGTCGGAGCACGCCCACCACCATCTCGACCTGAACCGCTATGGCGCCCTGCTCGCGGCGACCGATAACGACGCCTACAACGCGCTTGTCTGTACCGATTTCGGACCCGACATCGGCCGCACCAACATCTTCCAGATCGGCGACCACAGCCAGCGCACCGAGCGCCAGACGCTCAGCTTCACGCTGGGCGGCAAGCAGCTCTTTTCGCCCGGCCTCGAAATTCACGAACTCGACCGGCGTGTCAGGCAGGGCTGGACCTTCCAGTCGACCCGGCTGACCGACGAGTTCACCCATGACGATTTCGTCGGCACCCGGTCGGTCGACACCCGCGTGATCCTGTGGCGCAAGCCCGGCGGCCGGCTTGTCTTTGCCGCTGCGGCCGCCGACCAGAAGCCGCAGAAAAACGACGTCATCCTGTCGTTTGCCCCGCCGCGCCCGAAAAAGGATGTGCCGGCGGCCAGTACGGCCAAGCCCGTTCCCGATCTTCCCGACGCGTGACCCCAGCCCCGATGAGCCAGGTCCGCGTCCACTTCACCGCCGCAAAGGCCGTCGCCGAACCGATGTTCGCGGCGATCGAGGCGGCACTCGAGGATGAGGGTTGGCCGGTCGCCATCTCCGAAACAGGCGAAGACAGCGGAGTGTTCGAGGTGTCCGTCTATGTCGAAGCCGACCGGGCCGAGGCCGCACGAACGGCCATCGCCGGCTGTTTTGGCGCCGATGCGGCAACGCCCGACTTCGGCATGGAGGAATTGGGCGATATCGATTGGGTGCAGAAATCGCTCGAATGCCTGCCGGCGGTCGAAGCCGGCCGCTTCATCGTGCATGGCGGCCACCAGCGCGATGCGGTTCGCGCCGGCACGATCGGCATCGAGATCGAGGCGGGACAGGCATTCGGCACCGGCCACCACGGCACGACGAGCGGCTGCCTGATCATGCTCGACCGGCTGATCGCCCGGCGCAAACCCGAAATCAGTCTCGATCTGGGCGCCGGCAGCGCGGTGCTCGCGATCGCCATCGCCAGGCTGGCGCGCGCGCCGGTGCTGGCGACCGATATCGATCCGGTGGCGACCCGCGTCGCCGCCGAAAATGCGCGGCTCAACGGCGTCCACGCGCTGGTGCGCTGCGAGACTGCGACGGGATTCGGCCACCGCGCCTTCGCCGAAACCGGCCCGTTCGACCTGATCGTTGCCAACATTCTGGCCCGGCCGCTCATGGTCATGGCGCCCGACATTGCCCGCCATCTGTCACCCGGCGGCGACGTCATCGTGTCGGGCATTCTCACCGAACAACGGTGGAAAGTGCTGGCCGCGTTCCGTCAGGCGGGGCTTTTTCACTGCCGCACGATCGAGCGCGCCGGCTGGGTGACGCTGCACCTGCGCTAGCGAAGTCCAGTCTCAGCCCTCTTCGATTGCTTTTTTGAGTGCGTCGTCGATCCGCGACTGCCATCCGGCGCCCGTCGCGCGAAAATGCTCAACCACGTCGGCACTTAGCCGGATCGAGACCGGAACCTTTTTGGGCGTTTTTTGCGGTCCGCGCGTCTTTGGGAAAGCGTCGCGCACTTTCGGCGGCAGTTCGGCAGCAGGTTTGGCGCGCACAAAATCGGCGTCGGTCCATTCCTTCTCGGCCCAATCGTCGTTTTTGGTTTTAGGATCGGCTGGCAACATATCGCCCGATCTCCTTTTCATGCGCGCGGCGCAGCATAATCACTCTGGCGCGGTCGCCGCGCATCGTGAAGGCCAATGCGTGGTAGACACCATCAAGCAGGCCCCAAGCACGATATCGCGTTTCGCCATAGTCGAACCGCGTGTCCTCGATGAATGCCAGAATCTCGAAATCGACTGCCCGAGCCAATGAAATGTCGTGCTTTTCGAGATTACGACGATCCTTCTCAGGGTCGAACTCGATCTCCACTTCAGAAACCTAGCACGGATCAAGCGACAACGAAAGCAAATTGCATATACAATAAAAACGCAAACCAAACAAAAAGGCAGCCCCGGGACACACCCTGCGGACTGCCTTGATGGACTTTTCTCAGACGCCGGTCAGAAGGGCGAGGTGAAATGCGGGCGGCGCTTGAGGGTTTCGCGGTCGTAGCCGTTCGCCTTCAGCGTTTCATCGTCCAGCATCAGAAGCGTGCCGTTCACATATCCGGCCACCTGACGCGAACGCGCTTCGATCATTGCGTCGAGCGCGGAGCGAAAGAAGCTTTTGCGGTTCTGGTTGGCCATGTCGTGTCTCCTTTGGAGCGTTGTGACACCGCCAAGATGGGCCATGCCGGTGCTCTCCGGTAGGCCGGAAAACGCAGGGCGGCCATGCGTTTTTCGCATATGCGAACAATCGATTTTGCAACGCAATATTCATGTTTGCGGCCGGACGCCCGTTGAAGAAGCGGCGGCGGGCGGCTAGCGTCCGGCGGCAACACACGAGCCCCGGGTTTCATGTTTCAGTCCTTCAAAACGCCATCCGATCCATCGACCGGCAAACCGCGCCTGAAGGCGGTGCGCGAGCGCATGGCCGCGATGGACGTGGACGTGTTTCTGGTGCCGCATGCCGACGCGCACCAGAGCGAATATCTGCCGCCCCACGCAGAACGGCTGGCCTGGCTGACCGGTTTCACCGGGTCGGCGGGCATCGCCGTTATTCAGCGCAATGCCGCCCATGTCTTCGTCGATGGCCGTTATACGCTGCAGGTGCGCAATCAGGTCGATACCGGCCTGTTCGCGCCCGAAAGCCTCGTCGATACGCCGCCGCACGAATGGCTGGCCGACAATCTCAAGGCCGGCACACGCGTCGGGATCGATCCGTGGCTGCACACCATCGCCGATACGCGGCGATTGGACAAAGCCTGTGACACGGCGGGCGCGACGCTGGTCCGCTGCGCGGTCAACCCTGTCGATGCCGCCTGGCAGGATGCGCCGCCCCCGCCGGCGACGCCGATCCGTGTCCACCGGCCCGAACATGCCGGTCGCAGCGCGAAGGCAAAGCTGCGCGATCTCGCCAGGGCCGTGCGCGACAAGGGTGCGTCCGCCACCGTGCTCACCGATCCGGCCTCGGTCTGCTGGGCGTTCAACATTCGCGGCTCCGACGTGGTGCACACGCCGCTCACCATGGCATGGGCGATCGTCCCGGCGCGCGGCCGGCCCACGCTTTTCGTCGATCCGCGCAAGCATTCCGGCGATGTCACCGCCTATCTGCGGAACCACGCGAACCTGGCCGCCCCCGACACCTTGGAGGAGGCGCTCGCCGAACTCGGGCGTTCGGCCAAAAAGCCCGTCATGCTCGATGCGGCGCGTGCCAACGCCGCCATCGCCGACGCCATCGAAGCGGCTGGCGGAAGCACCGTCGCCGGCACCGACCCGGCCATCCTGCCGCGCGCCATCAAGAACCGTGTGGAGCGCAAGGGCGCCATCGAGGCGCAGCGCCGCGACGGCGCCGCCATGGTCGCCTTTCTCGCCTGGCTGGACGCACAGGATCCGGCCAAACTGGACGAGATCGCCATCGTCAAGCGCCTGGAAACGATCCGCGTCGAGACCGCCGGGCGCCTGGGCAAGCCCATGCGGGAGATTTCGTTCGACACGATCTGCGGCACCGGCCCCAACGGCGCCATCGTTCATTACCGGGTCGATGAAAGCAGCAACCGCAAGGTCACGCCGGGCGAGCTGATCCTGATCGATTCGGGCGCGCAATATGATGACGGCACCACCGACATCACGCGCGTGGTGCCCACCGGCGCGCCGTCGGACGCACATCGCCGCCATTTCACGCTGGTGCTCAAGGGCATGATCGCCATCTCGCTCGCCCGTTTTCCCGAGGGCACGCGCGGCGTCGATCTGGATGTTCTGGCGCGCCGCGCGCTGTGGGCGGCGGGCCTCGACTACGGCCATGGCACGGGCCACGGCGTCGGCTCCTATCTGGGCGTCCATGAAGGTCCGCAGAACATCTCACGGCGCGGCATGGCGGCGCTGAAAGCCGGCATGATCGTCTCCAACGAACCGGGCTGCTACGCCGAGGGCAGCCACGGCATTCGCATCGAAAACCTCGTCATGGTCGAACCGGCCAAGGTGCCGGAGGGCGGCGACATCGCGGTGCACGGGCTGAAGACGCTGACACTGTGTCCGATCGACCGGCGGCTGATCGAGACCAAAATGCTCGAACCGCCCGAACGGCGGTGGCTGAACCGCTATCATGCGCGCGTCCGCCGCGAACTGTCGCCGTTGATCGACGACCGGGCGGTTCTCGACTGGCTTGAGCAGGCAACCGCGCCCGTGCGCTGAACTTGCAGGACCGCGTCGAACGCCCCCCACCCTTCATCCCTCCCCCGCAAGCGTGGGAGGGAGGACATCAACCGCCGCCACTCTCTCCAAGGGTCGGGCCGGGTTCAAAAACCGCAGGTACGCAGCGGCGCCAAGGTCTTCCCTCCCACATTCATGGGGGAGGGATGAAGGGTGGGGGCAACACTTAGCGGCAGCTAGATCGCCTGCCGCAGCAGCCAGACCAGTGCCCAGCAAATGCCCAGCATGGCAAGCGTCGGCAGGCGCAGGGCCAGCACGATGGCGGCGGCGATGGTGATCGCCTCGGCAAGGCCGAAGAACACCGCGTAGGGCGCGACGATAGCCGTCAGGACGGCTGCCGGCACCGCGTTCAGCGCCGCCTCGACACGCGGCGGGATACGCTCGAAGCGCGACAGCACGGCGTGGCCGCCCACACGCGTCAGATAGGTCGCAACCGCGCCCGCAAGGATCACCCAGGCCGTCGCCGAGAGCACCATCGCCTCACACCACCAGCTTGTGGCCGGGCCTGACGCCGATGATGGCGGCAACCGCAACGCCGGCCAGCCCGCCAAGGCTGACATGCCACGGGCTGCCGACGAAATGATAGGCGGCGACCGAGGCGACTGCGCTGGCTGCCACCACCGGCAGCCAGTTGGCGCGGCCGCGAAAGCCCATCACCATGCCAAGAAAGTAAAGCGGCAGCAGGAAATCGATCGCATAGGCGGCCGGATCGTCGATCAGGCTGCCGAACACCGCGCCAAGCCAGGCTTCTGCCACCCATAGCGCATAAACCGGCAGCGCAAGCCCCAGATACCAGGCAAAGGGCGTCGCAATGCCCTTCTCCGCCTTCTGTTCGGTCGTCGCGAATTGTGGGTCGGTCATCAGCGCGAAGGCCAGCGCCTTCTGCAGCCGCGAATAGGCGCCGATCGTCTGACCCATCGTCGCCGAATAGAGAACGTGCCGGAAATTCACCGCCACGATCGAGAAGACGACGATCCACGGCGCGATGTCGGCGCCGAACAGCTCGATGCCGACCATCTGGCTGGCGCCGGCATAGACGGTCGCACTCATCAAGGTGGCCTCGAACGGCGTCAGCCCGTTCTCGGCGGCCAGCGCGCCGAACAGGAGGCCGAACGGCGCCACCGCGATCATGATGGGCACCGCGTCGCGCACGCCGCGCCAAAAGTCCGACTGAGTCGCTGTCATGAAGATCTCCGATCCTCCGGTTAGCGCGCGGCGGGCCGGGGTGTCACGTCAGTTTTTGTCACCGCGACAATCAGCGTGGCTGAAAGGCGGTCTCCGCCGCGTCGCATCGGCCGTCGCAAACGGCGAAGCGCGGGCCGGACGGCCGCGATAGGGTTCACGGTGAAGCGAGACCGCCATGACGCATCATCTCAGTGACGACGCCGACCTGTTCTACCTGCTCCGCGAATTCGATGTGGCCTATCGCTACGCGCCCCATGGCGGCAGCGCGGCGATCCGCGCCCACATGCGCCGGGTCCGCGAGCGTATCAGCCGGGTGCTGAAGGACAATCCGGCCGTCGAATTCACCGTACCGTCGCGCGTGCCGGTCAACGCGCACATGACCCGTGCGCTCGACAATGGCCAGCAGGACGCCGCCGAGGGTTTCGTGCGCGCCACCGCCAAGATGGCCGACCGGTTCGCCTGGCAACACGGCTATGAGAAGATGCCGGCGGCGCTGGCGCGCAAATACGGCTATGCGGACATTCTGGGTCCGGGCGGGCTGGTGCGGGCAGAAGACATCGCGCTCGGCTTCGTCCTGTTCGGGCCGGGCTGCGTTTATCCCTCGCACAAGCATGACGGCATCACCGAGAGCTACATCGTCTTGTCGGGCGCCTGTTCGCAGAACGACATCGGCGTCTTCCGCGCGCCCTCGATGATCTTCAACGCGCCGGGCACGACGCACACCATCCGTACCTCGGCGAACGAGCCCTGCCTGCTCGCCTATGCCTGGACCGCCGAACCGCAGGACATGGGCGCCCACAAGATGCGTTTCAGCCGCACACGGCGCCCGAAGGACGCGCCCGGTCGGTCGTGACCGGACATCGACGCCCGGCGCCGCTCACAGCCCTTCAGTGCGGTTGAACCACTCGTCCTCGTCGATCACCTCAATGCCCAGTTCCGTCGCCTTTTTCAGCTTGGAGCCGGCACCCGGCCCGGCCACGACCAGATCGGTCTTGGACGAAACCGAGCCGGACGCCTTGGCGCCCAGCCTGTCGGCCATCGCCTTGGCCTCGTCGCGGCTCATCCGTTCGAGCGATCCCGTAAAGACGATGGTCTTGCCGGCGAACGGGCTTTCCGTGGCGGGCCGCTCGGCGTCCTCGACAGTGAGCTGGCCGACAAGATCCCCGACCATCTGGAGATTGTGGTCCTCGCCGAAATAGCGCGCCACCGCATCGACCACCGCGCCGCCAATATCCTCGATGGCATCCATGTCCTCGCGCGCGCCTTCATCGCCCGCCGCGATCCTGCGTGCGGCCGCATCGAACTCGGCCCATGATCCATAGGCGCGCGCCAGCGTCCGCGCCGTCGTCTCGCCGACATGGCGGATGCCGAGGCCGAAGATCAGCCGTTCGAGCGGGATCGTCCGCCGCGCCTCGATCGCGTCGAACAGGTTCCTGGCCGAGACCTCGCCATAGCCGTCGCGGTTCTTCAGCGCGGTCAGTTCGGCGGCATCGTCGCGCGCCCTGAGCGTGAAGATGTCCGCCGGCGCGCGGATGCGCAGCGGGTCGTCCTCGGGCAGATCGTGGAAATAGTCGATCTGCTTGTCGCCGAGGCCGTCAATGTCGAACGCCTTGCGGGAGACAAAGAGCTTGAGATGCTCCTTGCGCTGGAACGGACAGGCAAACTCGCCCGAACAGCGCCGCACGACCCCCTCGCTGCCGCCGGCCGTCGCCTCGCGCACGATCGGCGTCTTGAGCGGACACGGACATGTCTCGGGAAAGGCGAAATCGGCGGCATCGGCCGGCCGCTTCTCCGGCACGAACCCGAGGATCTGCGGGATCACGTCGCCAGCGCGTTGAACGATGACGGTGTCGCCGATCTTGATTCCGAGCCGGGCGATCTCCTCGGCATTGTGGAGCGTCGCGTTTTCGACCACCACACCGCCGACGGTCACCGGTTCGAGCCGCGCCACCGGCGTCAGCGCCCCCGTGCGTCCGACCTGGATGTCGATGGCGTTCAGCACCGTCATCGCCTTTTCGGCGGGAAACTTGTGCGCGATCGCCCAACGCGGCGAGCGCGAGACGAAACCGAGCCTTTGCTGCAGCGCCAGATCGTTGACCTTGTAGACCACGCCGTCGATGTCATAGGGCAGTTCGCCCCGCTCCAGCTCGACCCGCCGGTAGTGGGCGAGCAGCGCCTCGACATCGTCGAACACGCCCATCAGCGGATTGGTGACGAAGCCGTATTCGTCGAACTTTTCCACCATGCCCATCTGCGTGTCCGACGGCATGGCGCTGACTTCGCCCCACGCATAGGCGAAGAATTTCAGCGGGCGGGACGCGGTGATCGACGCGTCGAGCTGGCGCAGCGAGCCGGCCGCCGTGTTGCGCGGGTTCACATAGACCGGCTTGCCCGCCTCCTCCTGCCGGCGGTTCAGTTCGGCGAAATCGTCCTTGGTCAGATAGACTTCGCCCCGCACCTCGAACACCGCTGGCGGGTCGCCGGCGAGCGTTTCGGGAATGTCGGCGATGGTGCGCGCATTGGCGGTCACGTTCTCGCCGACCGCGCCATTGCCGCGCGTCGCCGCATAGGCGAGCCGGCCATCCTCATAGCGCAGCGACAGCGACAGACCGTCGATCTTCGGCTCGGCGGTCAGCGCCAGCGGCGTGTCCTCGCCCATTTTCAGGAAGCGCCGCACCCGCGCAGCGAAGTCGTGGACGTCCTGATCGGAAAACGCATTGTCCAGCGACAGCATCGGCACGCGGTGGGCGATCTTCTCGAACTTCTCCGACACCGCCGCGCCGACCTGTTCGCTCGGGCTGTCGGCACGCTTGAGGTGCGGAAACCGGGCTTCGATCGCCGTGTTGCGCTGCTTGAGCGCATCATAGTCTGCGTCCGAAATGAACGGCGCATCCTCGCCATGATAGGCGACATCGTGCCGCGCGATCTCACCCGCCAGCCGTGCCAGTTCGGCCGCCGCTTCGGCTTCGGTCAGGGCGTCGACGGATTTGGTTTCGGCCGTCATGGCAGTGTCCGCTGTAGATACGACAGCGCAGGATTAGCGGGATTTGCCGGGCGCGGAAAGGCCCGTCGCGCACCCACCTCCCCCTTGAGGGGAGGTCGGAGAAGCAAGCGAAGCGAAGCTGATCCGGGTGGGGGTATCAACTCTCCCGGCCGTTGCAGAAACACGCCCACCCGGCTCTGCCTCATTGCATTCGGCAGTCGCCGACCTCCCCTCAAGGGGGAGGTGGCACGTTCAACTACCCAGCCCCCGCAAGAAGCTGCTCGGCCGCCGCGCGGGCTTCGGCGGTGATCTCTGCGCCGGCCAGCATCCGCGCGATTTCCTCGCGCCGCGCATCGCGGTCCATCTCGGTGACCGAGGTCACGACGCCGCTGCCGTTTCCGCCGCTCTTTTCGATCAGGAAATGGTGCGCGGCGCGCGCCGCCACCTGCGGCGCGTGCGTCACGGACAGCACCTGCACGCCGTCCGACAACCGTCTCAACCGCCCGCCGATGGCATCGGCCACCGCGCCGCCGACGCCCGTGTCGATCTCGTCGAAGACCAGTGTCGGCGCCGAGCCCCGGTCGGCCAGCGCGACCTTGAGCGCCAGCAAAAAACGCGACAGTTCGCCCCCCGAGGCGACCTTCATCATCGGGCCGGCGCGGGTGCCCGGATTGGTGCGCACCCAGAACTCGACCTCGTCTATGCCCGCCGGCGTGCGGCGGTCGGCGTCCGTCGTGCGGTGGACGATGAACTCGGCCTTGTCGAGTTTGAGATCGGGCAGTTCGGCCATCACGGCGCCGGTCAGTGCCTCTGCGGTCTCGGCGCGCCGGGCCGACAGGTCGGCCGCCGCCCGGTCATAGGCGACAAGCGCGTCGCGGGCTTCCCGTTCGAGGCCCGAAAGCGCCGCTTCGCCGGCATCGAGATCGGCAAGCTGGTCGGCCATCGTCACGGCCAGCGCCGGCAGATCGTCGACCGCGCAATCATATTTGCGGGCCGCCGCGCGCAGGCCGAACAGCCGCTCCTCGGTGCGTTCGAGCGCCTGCGGATCGTGGTCGCTGTCGGCGATCGCCTGCTCGATGCGGTTCTGCGCCTCGGCAAGATGATCCAGCGCTGCGGCCAGATGCTCGTTGACATCGTCGAGCAGCCCCGGAACTTCGGGCGCCTTGCGCTCCAGCCGCCGCAGCAGCCCGGCAATCTCCGGCACCGCCGAGGCTGGCCCGCCCAGCGTTTCGTTCGCATCGTTGAGATCGCCGGCCACCTTTTCGGCGGCCATCATCGCGGTGCGCTTTTCCGCCAGCGCCTCTTCCTCGCCCGCTTCCGGCGCGAGCTTTGTCAGTTCATCCACCGAGGCGCGCAGGAAATCGGCCTCCCGCGCCGCCGCCTCGATGCGCGCGCGCTGCCGGGCAAGCGTCGCTTCCGCGTCCTTCCACGTCCGGTGCAGGCTCGCCACATGGGCAGCATCAGATGCAAGGCCGCCAAAGGCGTCCAGCAGATCGCGGTGGGACGCGGTGTCGACCAGCGCCCGGTCGTCATGCTGGCCGTGAATTTCGACAAGCTGCCGGCCGGCGTCGCGCAGGATGGCAACGCTGACGGTCTGATCGTTGACGAAGGCGCGCGTGCGCCCGTCGGCGCTCTGCACCCGGCGGAAGATCACCGGTTCCCCCGGCTCCACGGCGACGCCCGCATCCTCGAACAGGCCATGCAGCGGATGGCTGGCGGCCAGATCGAACACCGCCGTCACCTGTCCGTCTTTCGTGCCCTGGCGCACCAGACCGGCATCGCCGCGCCCGCCAAGGGCGAGCGAAAGCGCATCGAGAAGGATGGATTTGCCGGCGCCCGTCTCGCCGGTCAGAACCGCAAGGCCCGCCTCGAAGCGGATCGCCAGCCTTTCGATCAGCACGATATCGCGGATCGACAGCTCGCTGAGCATTGCAAGATGTCCGGGTCAGCCGCCGGCCGGGCGGACCAGCACGTTCTGCGTCGCACGGGAAATCCACGAGCCGGCGTTTTGACGTGGCTCCAGGCCGCCGGTCGCCAGCAGCGCGTAGGAATCGGCATACCACTGGCTGTCGGGGAAGTTGTGGCCCAGGATCGCCGCCGCAGTCTGCGCCTCGGAAGCAAGGCCCATGGCGAAATAGGTCTCGGTCAGCCGCGCCAGCGCTTCTTCGACATGGCGTGTATTGCCATATTCCTCAACCACCAGCCGGAAGCGCGGCAGCGCGGCGGCAAATTCGCGCCGTTCGAGGTAATAGCGGCCGACCTGCATTTCCTTGCCGGCGAGCTGGTCGCGCGCGGCACGGATCTTCGCCTTGGCGTCTTCCTCGTAGATCGAGCCCGGATAGCTCTCCAGCAGCCGGTTGAAATTCTGGATCGCCAGCTGCGTGTCGCGCTGGTCGCGCGTCACTTCGGGCATCTGGTTGAAATAGGAAAGCCCGATAATGTACTGCGCGTAGGCCGCGTCTTCATGGGTCGGATAGAGATTGACGAAGCGCCGCGAGGCCGCGATCGCTTCGTCGAACCGGCCCATCCGGTAGGATGTGAAGGCGGCCATCACGTTCGATTTGCGGGCGAATTCCGAATAGGGATGCTGCCGGTCGACGGCCTGGAACTTGCGCTGCGCCTCGCGCAGCCGGCCCGTGTTCAGATTGGCCAGACCCTGATTGTAGAGCACGTCGGCGGGCTCGATCGTGTCGACATAGCTCGACAGATCGACGGAGTCGTTGTCGCGGGCACACCCGCTGACGCCCGTCGCGGCCAGCGCGACAAGGGCCATCATCGTGCCGATGCGCACGGTGCGCGATGCTGATACTCGATTGGCGCTCATGAACCAGCCCGTCTCCTACTGCGCGCAGCAGGTTTTCCCCGCCGCGCGAACACCCGCCCGTTTACCCGTTCGGGAACCCTGCGGCAACGCCTGCAAAGGAATTGGCGCGATTTTGTGGCGGTTGCCGTTAACGGCGCCTGCCGCCGCCCGTCAAACCGCCCAAGGCGCGTAGACCTGGCCGGTCACGGCGACCAGATCGCCGGCATAGACGATGGCGTGCGGCACCGGGGTTTCGACGATCTCGTAAGCGGCCGGATCGGCCAGCAGCGCGCGCAGCGCGATCGCGTTCAGCCGGTGGCCGCCGCGATAGGACGAAAAACAGCCGATGAAATTGGCGCCGGCGAGCGCCAGATCGCCGACCGCATCGAGCGTCTTGTGCCGCACGAACTCGTCGGCATAGCGCAGGCCTTCGCAATTGACGATCGTATGATCATCGCCGATGACGACAGAATTGCCCAGCGACGATCCGAGCGCATGGCCCGAGGCCCAGAGCCGCTCGACGTCCTTCATGAAGCCGAAGGTGCGCGCATCGGCCAGCTCGGCGCAGAAAACGTCACCGTCGATCTCGTCGCGGAATTCCTGCCGCCCGATCGCCTTGCTTTCGAAATCGATGACGATCTCGTAGCGCGTGCCCTCATGCGGGCGGAACTCGGCCCAGGAACCGCCATGCTCGACACGCACGGTCTTCTTGACGCGGATATAGCGGCGCTTGACCAGATGGTGCTCGATGCCCGCTTCCTCGATCGCGGCAATGAAGATACGCGCGCTGCCGTCCATGATCGGCACCTCCGACGCGTCGATCTCGACGATCACATTGTCGAGCCCCAGCGCCGAGAAGGCGGCCATGATGTGTTCGATGGTGGAAACGTGGACGCCGGCGGGGTCGCCGAGCATGGTGCACAGATCGGTGGCGCCGACCTGCGAAACCACTGCGGGAAGATCGACCTTTGAGCCGTCATCGAGAATGCGCCGGAAGACGACGCCGGTATTGGGCTCGGCCGGATGCAGCGTGATCGACACTTCCGCGCCCGTATGCACCCCGATTCCCGACAGGCTTACCGCTTTGCGCAGTGATGCCTGATAGGCCCGCAGATCAGTCCCCATGAGCTATCCCTGCTCTTATTGTTGTGCGAAACGTCCCGTTCCCCGGACCTGTTTCGTAGCGTCTGACGAAGGGACACCCTCTCCACTTCGCGCCGCACATTAGTCGCGAGTCGGCGAAACGGCCAAATCACGGATGGTTACCATATGTAACGCGCATGGCCCGCCGGTTATGTACATTCACGAGTACAATCAGTGGTTTAACAATTGGCGAACGGGGCGCTTGCGGCGCCCCGTGAGCAGGTTGGCGACGAGCCGGCGGCCGGAGCCGAAGTCAGTTGGCCTGGCGCCGCAGGAAGGCAGGGATTTCCAGCTGGTCGTCGCTGTCGGCCACCGGCGACGGCGCCTGGGCGCGGCCATGGTCGTCGAGATGGCCCTTGCGCGGCGCATACAGCGCCGCATCGGCACCGAGCGTGCGGCGCGGCTGGCCGGCTCCCTGCTCGATCGACCCGGCCGGGCGCAGGCGCGGCGGCTCGGGCGCATCCATCTCGTCCTTGCGCGACAGGCCGTGCGTCAGCCGCTTGAGCAGGCCCAGGGGACCGCGCTCGTCATGGGCGTCGTGATCGTCATGCGCGGTGTCGCGGGCTTCCACTTCCGCCTGTACCATGGGCGGAAAATCCTCCACCTGCGGCATGCGCGGCTGCGGTGCAGGCGCTTCGGCCGTCGGTGCTTCGGGCATCGGTGCCGGCCGGGCCGGCGCACTGGCGGCTGCGGACGCTGGCAGGTCGGTTGCCGGGCGGGCCGGCATCGGCTGCGGCGGGGACTGGAACAGCCGGCTCTGCGGCCGGAATTCGCTGTCGGCCTGCGCCGGGGCGGCGGCGCCGGTCGTCGTGGACGCCATCTCGAAGGCCGCCATGTCGCGCTCGGTCTCGGCGATCACGTCGTCGCTGACAGACGGAGCCGGTGCCGCCGGCGCGGCTGCAGGGGTCGAAACGGTGGTCTGCACCGGAGCCGGCTGGCTGCGCGCGGCGGGCCGCAGCACCGACGGCTTGTCGGCACCGCTGTCGGGCTTTGCGGCGGGCGCTGCCGCACCGGTCACGGCCCGCGGGATCGACGAGGGCGCCGGTCGCGCAGCAGCCGCAACACCCGATTCGATGCCGGTCGCGACGACCGATACGCGGATCAGCCCTTCAAGCGACTCGTCGAATGTCGCGCCCAGGATGATGTTGGCGTCCTGATCGACCTCTTCGCGGATGCGCGTTGCCGCCTCATCCACCTCGAACAGGGTCATGTCGCGGCCGCCGGTGATCGAGATCAGAAGGCCGCCCGCGCCCTTCATCGAGGTTTCGTCAAGCAGCGGGTTGGCGATCGCGGCTTCTGCGGCGGTCATGGCCCGGCCTTCGCCGGACGCTTCACCCGTGCCCATCATCGCCTTGCCCATGTCGCGCATCACCGAGCGAACATCGGCAAAATCGAGGTTGATCAGCCCTTCCTTGACCATCAGGTCGGTGATGCAGGCAACGCCGGAATAGAGCACCTGGTCGGCCATGCCGAAAGCGTCGGCAAAGGTGGTCTTGTCGTTGGCGATGCGGAACAGGTTCTGGTTCGGGATGACGATCAGCGTGTCGACATTGGCCTGCAGTTCCTCGATGCCGTCATCGGCGGTGCGCATCCGGCGCTGGCCTTCGAAGTGGAACGGCTTGGTGACGACGCCCACCGTCAGGATGCCGCGCTCGCGCGCCGCGCGGGCGACGACCGGCGCCGCGCCGGTGCCGGTGCCGCCGCCCATGCCGGCGGTGACGAAGCACATATGCGTCGAATTGAGGTGATCGTTGATCTCGTCGATGCATTCCTCGGCCGCCGCGCGGCCGACATCGGGCTGCGAGCCGGCGCCCAACCCTTCGGTGACGCCCATGCCGAGCTGGATGATCCGGCCCGCCTTGTTCATCGACAGGGCCTGCGCATCGGTGTTGGCAACCACGAACTCGACGCCGTCGAGCCCGCCGGTGATCATGTTGTTGACCGCGTTGCCGCCGCCGCCGCCGACGCCGAACACGGTGATCCGCGGCTTGAGCTCGGTGATGTCCGGCTTTTGGAGATTGATTGTCATGGTTTCATCCTCTGTGTGTGCCAGACCGGCCTGCGGCGCTGGGGCCTTGTTGCCTTCGTCCGTGTCTAGAAGCTCTCTTTTATCCATTGTGTCATCCGCCCGAGCGGCCCTTCTGTTCCGGTCAGCCTGACCGACGCGGTTCCACGAAAACGTTCGCTTGAGTGATCATTGGCCGCCACCTGCGGATAGACCATCAGGCCGACGGCGGCGGCAAAGGCCGGACCCTTGGCGGCGGCCGGCAGCCCGCGCACGCCCAAGGGCCGGCCGATTCGCACATTGCGCCCCAATATCCTGCGCGCCATGTCGGTCAGCCCGCCCAGTTGCGCCGCGCCGCCCGTCAGCACGACACGCTTGCCGACCACCGACGAATAGCCGGACGCATTGATGCGCTCGCGCAGCATTTCCAGCGTCTCCTCGACGCGCGCGGCGATGATGCGGTTCAAAAGGCTGCGCGGGATCTGGTGTCCGCCCTCGTCGCCATCCTCGCCCATCGCCGGCACCTGGATGATGTCGCGGTCGTCGACCGAGGTGGCGATCACCGAGCCCTGCATGACCTTGAGCCGTTCGGCATCCTCGAGCCGGCAGTTGAGCCCGCGCGCAACGTCCATCGTCACGTGATGGCCGCCCAGCGGGATCGACTCGGCATGCACGAAACGGCGTTCGGAGAAGATCGCGATCGAGGTGGTGCCGCCGCCCATGTCGACGCAGGCGCAGCCCAGTTCCAGTTCGTCATCGACCAGCGTCGCAAGGCCGCTCGCATAGGGCGTGGCCACCAGCGTCTCGATGGTCAGATGGGCGCGGTTGATCGCCAGTTCGAGGTTGCGCACCGGCGCCGCATCGGCCGTCAGAAGGTGCATGTTCAGCGCCAGTTCGTTGCCGATCATGCCGCGCGGATCGACGATGCCGCGCTCGCCGTCGAGCATGTGGTCGATCGGCAGAAGGTGGACGACGTGGCGGTCGACGCGCGCCGCCCGCGCGATCGCCGCGCGCAGCACCTGTTCAATTTCACGCGGCGAGACCGGCTTGTCCTTGAGCGGCAGTGTCGCCGTGCAGGTCGATGATTTCGGCCGCCCTGCGCTCAGATTGACGATCATCGAATCGACGGTGACGCCGGCCATCCGTTCGGCGGCTTCGACCGCATGGCGGATCGCCCGTTCGGCGGCGTCCAGATCGACCAGAACGCCCGACTTGATGCCGAGCGAACGGGTGTGGCCGATGCCGATCACCTCGCCCTGATGGGTGCGGCCCGACAGGAAACGACCGGTCTCGGACGGCATCATCCTGGCGATCATGCAGACCGTCTTGGTGCTGCCCAGATCGAGCACCGTGACGGTCGCCGTCCGGCGGCTGCGCTTGCCGGTTTCCTGGGTGCGGGCGGGCGCCATCAGATGCGGTTCCCCCGCCGTGCCTGTTCGCGGGCCGCATCGCGCGCCTCGATCAGCGCCTGACGCGCTTCAAGGGCGTTGCCGGTCAGCGCAAAAAGGGTGCGATCCTCCAGCCGCATGTCGATGGCGGCCAGATCGCGGCCGAACACGTCCAGTTCGTCCTGCATGGTGACGAGACGCTCGAGCGCCCGCTCGACGCCCGTCTCGGGCAGGCGGACGGTGATGCCGTTGTCGAGCCTGAGATCCCAGCGCCGCTGGCCGACGCGAATATGGGCGCGCACGCGGTCGGCGACGATCGGGTATTGCTGCACGGTGGCGACAAAGCCCGCGCCGGTCTCGGCGGCGCCCTTGCCGACCAGAAGCGGCAGCGCGGCAAGGCGCGGATGGGCCGCATAGCCGCCGATCACCGCGCCGTCCTGCTCGATCACCGACAGGGCCTCGCCGGTCTGCCACACCGCGAACGGCGACCGTTCGCCCACTTCGACGACGAGCTTGGAGGGATACACCTTGGCAATCCGGGCGCTTGCGATCCAAGGCAGGTCGGTCAGCGCGGAGCGTGCGGCGGCCGGCTCGATCGAGACCAGCGACCGCCGTCCGTCGAGCCCGAGCGCGGCAAAGACGTCGTCGACCGGAGTATAGGTGTTGCCGGACAGTTCGATCTCTTCGACGGCAAAGCCCATCGCCGCGGTCGTCTGCTCGACAGCCTGGCCGAACTGGCCGCCAAGAACCGATCCATAAAGGATCGCCCCGCCGATCACCGCGCCGAACAGCATGGTTTCGGTGCGCGGCGGCACGCTGACATCGCCGGAGACCAGACGCCGGACGAACCGGACGGGTCGGCGCAGCGCGCGCGGCAGCACGCGGGTGCGTGACCCGCGCTTCGCCGAGGCCGCGCCGGCTCCCGCTCCGATCCGATCTGACGTCAACGCATGCAAGTTGCGTCCTCCACCATCCACTCAAGCAATTCACCGAACGAATGACCGGCATGAAGGGCGATCTCCGGAACCAGCGAAGTCGCCGTCATCCCCGGTTGCGTGTTGATTTCCAGCCAGATCAGCTCCCCGTCGGCGGAGAACCGGTCATCGTAGCGAAAATCCGAACGCGTCACGCCCCGGCACCCGAACGCCTGATGTGCTTTCAGCGCCAGTTTCGTTATCGTTTGGTAAATATTTGGTGAAATTTCCGCCGGACAGACATGTTTTGAACCGCCTGAAACATATTTTGAATCATAGTCGTAGAACTGGTGGCCGACCGGTATGATTTCGGTCACGCCCAGCGCCACATCGCCCATAACGGCACAGGTCAGTTCGCGTCCGTGAATGTAGCGCTCGACCATCACCCGGTCGCCATAGGCCCATTCGTCGGAGGTGATGATCTGCGGCGGATGGGCCTGGTCGGCTTGGACGATGACGACGCCGAAGCTCGACCCTTCGGACACCGGCTTGACCACATAGGGCGGCTGCATGGGGTGCTTGGAGGTGAAGGCATGCCGGTCCATGACCTTGGATTCGGCGACCGGAATGCCGTGCGTCTTCGCCAGCCGCTTGGACATTTCCTTGTCCATGGCG